GGATTCCTGCCCCATCCCCAGGGGCTAGGGCGGGGCCCCAAAGGGAACATTTACCAATATTTTCAAATTCTTATCCATTGATGACATGACAAGTATTGTATTTCACTTAGTTTACATGCTGATTTCCACATCACATCTAAACAATAAAATAAAGCTACCAGTACCTATGATATAACTCAGGTGACCGCTAAGGCCCTTGGGCCTCTTGTTTATCTAGTCTTTGATCATCGACCAACACGGACGGTAAATCTGACGACTCTCCTATCTAAGTGATGATACCTCCGATAACCAGGAACTGAATGCATCTATAAAATATTACATAAAGTTTTAAGAAAACTTAGAATGATACAAAATCACAGTCAGGTTTGTTGTGAAATGTAATTTTATCTCATTGTTTTAAAATTTCGCATGACACCAAACTCGGTGATACGTGATTAAAAAAAAATGAGATAAAAATTACGTTTTAAGATCAAATCGGAATATAGATGCCCGTGCCAATAAGAATAGAAGGAGAGGAAATAGGTGATGTGCAACAAAGGATCGTTGTAAAATGAATAGAACTTAGTCTAATCTTTAAGAATGGATGATGAAGTTTTGTACAGATGAAAAATTTAAAGCATTTTCATCATCTGTATTCTCATCAGTAAATCAGTTGAGAGTGGATGGTTGATTTCGTAATGATTAATTTGAAATTAACCTCTACTCATATAGTATTGGAATTCAAATAATCAAGGTGAAAATGCACCCCCTTAAATTTAGACTCAAAAGTTGTAACACTGGAGCACTACATGGAACGGACTCACTGCCAGTATTTTGGCCCCTCGCATCACCGACGAGTCCTAGAGGCTAGAAGGACAAAACAGCATGTACAGTACGTGTCACCCACAATCGTGATATAGTTGCAATCATGTGTACAGGTGCAACCGCATGTATGTGACTTACATTAATCTTTTAAGGTATAGACTATGTTTTTGTATTTTTTAGTCCCCAGGTTTGCCGTAACCTTCGTGGCTACAACTGTCTCTTTTTGAGTAGTGGCAGGGTTCATAAAATACCCACTTAACTCATTATTAATATGAAATTAACCAGTACACCTCTGATTTTTGTTAAATGTTTTTATATACTTCCCTTTTAATCAATTTGGATTTCCAACTATTTGGCAAACGGAAAAGGACGAAACAGCTATATATATGGTGCAGTGTAATTCATTTTTTGCAACTATATCAATAGTAATTCTATAAGTGCATGTGTCCGAGTGACATTCATCATACATGAATGAACTGTGTATAGTTCTTTTGGGATGAAATATAAGTGAACTCACAAGAATAAAACATTGTATTGAAGTGTCATAAACAAGTGTTATTATCATAAATATCTGTTAAAGGATTAGTCGATTTAATAATGGTGATGTGCAACCTGAAATTTAGGAAATGGAGGGTAATTATCTCCTCCTTAATTATAGATGGCGCTGTCAACAAAGATGGCGCCGTTCTAGATGCGGCTTTCTCGGAGCTCCTAACAATTGTAAAATATGTAGCGTTTAATGGACCCGTATACTTGCAATATATACGAAAATCGAAGACATAGGTTTCTGGCTTGATGGTTTGTAAACGATTCTCTTATCGTTAAACGCCTCGTTATATCCAGCCATACCAAAATGTTTACGTTTTGTGTTGACAAGCTTGAGTATGTACCCCACAGGGAATTATTACAGTGTACTGAACGCTTTCGACTTGCTATCTTAAATGTCCATATATTGTTCGTGTGTGCAATGATATCATTGATCAAGTAGAATGTTTACAATTTAATAAACTGTAGAAGGAGTTATTTCCTCCTATGAGACAAACTGCACAGGTTCGTTGGTATATTCAGCAGTTCAGATATTGGTCCATCAGAATCTTAAGTCTGATCTGTCTGTTTATATCTGTATGGATACGCTGAACTTACCAAAACTGGTGTCTTCTCAAGGGTTGGTAAGTTGAGATCTTTGAGTTTGTGTCACACTTCCCGATTCTCTTGCGGTCACCGACACAAATCTTGCGGCACAGTGTCGGATGTGTTCCAGTTTGCTGTCATCTCCCTTCTGGTGTGGATCCAACACCACTGGCCCATATTCCATAATGGGCCATACCATGGAGATGTAGGCGGTGCGTTTGCTAACTGTTGGGCAGCTTCGAATGTTCCGTCTGAGAAAGCCAAGTGTGGAATTTGCTTTTTTACCCATGTTACTGATATGAGGACCCCATTTAAGGTCTTTGGATATTGTCACACCCAGGTATTGGTTCTGGGGTACTCTCTGAAGGATGGCATTCTCCAGTGTATAGAATTGGCTGCTCTTTCCAGGCATGCTTAGGACGTTTGAATTATGGCAAATATACAAAAACCCGAAGATATAATAAAAAAAATCAAATACTATAATAATTGTAAAATAACGTGACAGGAAAATATACTCAATAAGCTGCAATAAGTATTAACACTCAATAAACTACCGGACTATTACTGGCTACGTGTATCAAACATGTTTATGTCACTATAAATATACAGATACACCATAGATGAGCGTTGAGTAATTGAATATCACCCAGGTATCCCAACACTTCATGGTGCTATATTGTACATTTATATAGAAAACCAAATGTGAACCTATATTTTTGAGGCATATTTCCAAAACATCCTACCTAAATGTAGCGTTAATTATAATATATAGAAGTGTAGGAGTGAGAGGGAGAAGCTGAGTCCCACAAAGACTTTAATCCTGACTAACAAGCTTTGCTAACTCACCTATTATGTACTCAAAACATGGCAATTTGCATGTACATAATTCGTGCTAGAATAATGGGGACACTTCCAGACTAAACTATTATGATAGGTCCCAAATGACAGTTATAACTTTTGGAAGAACCAAAACATGTTGACAAAGTTTGGTTAGCAAAAAACCTACTGATTCATACTCTATAAGATTAATTTAATTAACAAATTGTTCTTTTACAAAATTATAGATAAAGCAATCCAGTGCTGTTAAACCATTAAATCGTGCACAAGGCACAGGCATCTGCAGCTGCCTGACAACATATTTACTTAACCTGTAATAAATACGGTAAGCTTATAAATTCACTTCAAGGTAATTATTGTTTAATTTAGAAATTTATTAATGAAGAAACATGATGGAATTAATTCAAACATTGATGTGCTCTCAATCAAAAGATATGAGTATATGCTAGGGGAGGTAACTCTTTGTATGCTCTTTATGATGTGCGTATGTATTTACATGGAATAGAATATTTACGCAACAATTATGCTTTTGTTTGTCCAGCAGTTGTACACGAATCCAGCTGGGCTGGGCTGGGCTGGGGAAGTTACCATAGCACATAAAAAAATATTCTGGTGAGAACACTGAATTCGCAATTCTTTTTGAAAACAGGACTACAAAACATCATGACAAATACTCTGGTTTCTGTGCTGGTGGAGCTCCGGTTTTGTCTGAAATTTGACCATTGACCAGGATGGACAGCGAAGAGGAACATGATCATGACCATGATCATGACCATGATCATGACGGTGAAGCACAGGGCGCTGTGTCCTCCCTCACTGGTTTCCTGTTCGGGAACATTGATAAGAAGGGAGACCTGGAGGGGGATTTCCTTGATGAGGTAAACTTTTTAAGGACCATTGGTTATTATGGAGAAAAGCATTATGTTTAAAAGTAGTCACATTTGTCATTCTTTTATTGGATTGAAGAAGATCTATTTTAGAAACACCTCTACAATTTTATGTATACCTTCTGGCAATGTCAAGTACATATAATGTGCAAACAATTTTCTCTAAACAGGTTGGTTTTCCATCAACCAACTTCCTTACTTGCAAAACGGATGTACAGTAAAACTTTCCTTTGACTCGTATAAATGAATGTAAATTGCATACCCATAAATCTCCAGCTATGGGTTTTGACTTGTCATAGTTTGTATGTTTAACAACTCAGGTAATTGGTAATAACATATTTAATTTCATCAATTATGAGTATAACAGGTCCATGGGACATCTTGTATGAAGTTGTTTCGTGGTCCCAGTGGTTATCATCATGTGATAGGGATTAAGATATTGAGAGCACCTTGTGATAATATAATATTTTACAGGAATCCAAGCGACACCTTGGATCCCTGAGTGCCCTGGGAGGGATTGGAACCATGGTACGGGAGATTACAGAGGATCAGTCTATTCTGGTGGCGGAGGAGGGAAGTGACCAAGAAGAATCCAGCTGTATGTGCCTTAATGAGTAATTTGTAATGCTGCAGAATATATTTTTTTCCCAAATATATTTGTGTATTAAATGGTTAGCTGTGTTAAATTATTTTAACTTTGTAAAAACTTATCATTTATTTTCATATCGTATTTAATGTATTGAAGGTGTTTTTGTAATATTATATTCCTAATTGTGCAAACATTTTTTGTGTTTATTTCCAGTGAATTATGAGAAAAAGGTAGCAGGAGCTGTGGATTACTCGGACATTACAGAGATGGCTGACGATGGGTCAGAGAGGGTGCGAGAGGCCATGAACAGTCTACAACCACTCAAGTCAGGTAAGTGCATGTCAAGTATGTATTTAGATTTTGTAAAATCTTTTATTGATACATGTATCAGTCTATAATTGACTGAGCAGTGGTGTGTATTTCAATGTTTCACCACAAAAAGTTTGAGTATTAACTGTTACCCTTTTCTGTCTGTAAAAATGTATATCACAAATCTTGTGGATGTAGCTTGTCCTGTTTTACTAAGTTCCTATATTGTCAAACCATAATGAAGTGGTGCACAAATTGTTTACATAATATCCGTTACATTTCTGGACTGAAATGGACTGTTACAGTGCTAAAGTGTGAACTCGCATGCTTTTCTTAAAATGCCAGATTCATTGTCAAATTTGTGTTATCTCAAATTGAGCTACTATTATAAAGAAAAGAAACTTGACTGAATAGACACACATTCTCCGAAACATTGATATATGAAATTAGAAAGATATGGCCATTTCCTGAAAGAGACTTTTTTTTAAGATAGAATTAAGAAATAGAGTCAGGCAAAATTATGATACAGTATATTATGATCGGAACCAGCAATCTTATATATAAGAAAATAATTGTTTATATAAGAAAATGTGGGAATCGCAATTTGCATAGTGAATATGTTTTTGCTTCAGATAATGACGAGGAAGATTATGATGAAGATGACAATAAACTTATGCCTCCACCCTCCTGGCTCCCAAACAAATCAGGCAAGGCAGAGGAGGAGGGAGGGGAAATTGGTAGCCCTGGGAGTCAGGCCCAGACCCCCCCAAAATCTGACAAGGGTTCGCTGTCTGATAGCCCAGACAAATCCAAGTTTAAGACCCCCTTGGCAGCCATGTTACCCCCAGAGTTGGCGACCGTGGAGGTCACCACACTGTTCCCTGAGTTTGAGCATGGAGAGGTATATCATATTTTGTATCTTCATAAAATCAACAATATCTCCAAAAAGATAGTATAACCAGAGACATTCAAGATTCACTGAAAATAATCTGAACTAATATTTTGCTGTGTTGTTATTAATTCATTGCTAAAAAAAGTCTGGAGCTTATGTACCCATTTTTAACTTATATAATGTCCAGATAGAAATGAAGGTCTCGCAATGAATTACATGTACGGTACAAAAACTAGTGTTACTAGTATTGAGTCTACAGAAACAAATAGCAGATCGATGTTCACAATGAATTTCAAAGAATTTTTTTATACAGATTTTAATTTTTGTCAGCTGAAGTATCCAGAAGCCCTCTACAATACTATTGGTGGCCATGTCATGTGTTATCCTGAATGAGAGTTTTAATTCAGGTGAGACTTCATTCATCTTACTTGACATGACTTGCTCTTATTTTCAGGTCTTGAGATTTTCCCGTCTCTTCAGACCTGTCCACACACCCCATGTTTGGAGGAGGAAAAAGAAGAAGAAAACAGAAGAAGAAGATGAGGAAGCAGAAATGAAGAAAAAACAAGGTAATACAAATGGAATCATCACAACAGATCCTAGAGAGAATTTACTGTAAACGTTTATAGAAGTGTAACAAACATTTAGCTCAATACTCAATATATATAACAAAATTTGTGCCATTTTTAATTAAGGTATCAGTACATTTGAGAGACATTGTTGTTCTGAAATCTTTTGTCTAACATTTTAATGTCATTTGTTACTAGAAGCTTGATTTGAGGTTCCAAATGAGTCCCTTATCAAACTGCAAACAACTAGAAAAATCCCAGAGGCAAATTAAAACATGTGAGGAGAAGCACTCAACATTTGTCAATTTTTTTTCTCAGCAAAATTCTTAAAAGTACATGGGATATATACTTAATGTTGATAACAGGTCATAGCTGTAATCCCTGTTTATAAATGGAGTTTATAATAAAAACAGATTTTAGCTGTAAATCCTGGTCAGTATTTATACATAAAGTTTATAAAAAACAATATTTAAATGAAATCCTGCCGGTATACATGGAGTTAAGTTGTAGTACCGATATTTACAGAAGCTTGTACTCGCTATGTGTTATTACTGACTTACAGAGGAGGAGAAGAAGATGTCACCATTACAGAGGATGGTAGCTCATGCAAAGGAAGAAAGAAACCAGTCTGGGACCCTAAGGCCCTCTCAAGACCCCCAGGGGGTTGAGGATATGCATGTAGATGAGGATAACGAGGAGGATGACTTTATGTTGAACCTGGGAAGACCAGCCCAGACTGAGGAGTGCCTCTCAGATGATGAGGTAAACAAACCTGTATTTTGTCTGAATGATGAAGCACAAACTTTACAAGGAGTTTTTTTTACTGCTATGAAAGTTTCAACTGTTAAAATTGCATGTGAACATTAACTTGAGTTTTACAGGTAGTGCTTTTGAGAAAATTATATTTGTTAGAATATTGTTTTTCAAAGATCTGATTATGAGCAAAACATATTTTGCAAAAGTTGTCTTTAAACATTAAGTCAGTTAAAAAGTGATCAGAACAATATTGTTTTTCTTAAATTAAACAGGAGAAGATGATGAGAACAGAGGAAGAAAAATCTCTGACTGACCAAAACAAAACGTCTGGGGAGTCCGAACAAAGCCTGAAAATAGAACCATGGCGGTATGGTCCTGCTCAGTATTGGTATGACTTCATTGGAGTGGATGAGCTCGGGTGCGACTTTGACTATGGCTTCAAACTCAAAAAGGTACTGGGTGCTGGGCAAGTAGCACTGCTAAAAGTCCTATTAATGATGTGTATAGATATATAATACAAATGAATAGTGCTATTGTATATTGGGTAGTTTTGGCACATTTTACAGTTAATACTTTTTATGTTTATAAAACCTAGATATAGCAGAGCATGGTTATATAATTGACTGGCGGGTATTTCAACAAGGAATAAAGTTTCCTCAAGTTGAATATTGAGCCAATTTAACTCATTGAAATGACTTTTATTTATCAGAGATATAGACAAAGGTGATATTTGAGTTGTTTTTAGATTTCCATGTCATTATGATTAATTTGCCAGGAGAATACTGAAGAGGAAGCTGACGTTAGTGCTAATCCAAACCCAAAGAAGGTGGAGTTTTCTGATGAGGTTTTCCTCATGGTAACCCAGCTACAGTGGGAGGATGACATTATCTGGAATGGTGAGGATGTAAAACACAAGGTGATCGCCTCACTCAAACAGAAAGCGCCCTCTGCTGGCTGGATCCCTAGCACCTCTCACCGCACTGCCACCCAGTTCACCACACAGGGTACATATGTCCTTACCACAGTGTTCTTTTCATCACACCAAGAAATCAAAATTCACGGGTTCCACTTTCAATACTCATATCTTCTCTGCACCTTGGGAATATATCATGACAAAATCAAAGGCTTTTGAAATAACATTTTGCAAATAATAGCCTAGTTTAATGTCTGTCCCTCTAGAATCATTTGACAGATTTAGACATGAATGTATTTTAATCTAATTCGATTTTGAAGTGAGTGTTTAATAGCAATACCAGATAAAGACAAATTCTGTGTGTAATGAGGTTATGAGGCCCTGCTTATTTGACAGATTTATTTGTTGTAGGTAAACCCAATGACATTATCAGTGGCCTGACTCCTAAAGTGCCGATCCTGAACCCTGGTTATTCCAAGACAATCCCTGGCATGTCTCCCATCATAAAGCAAGGTCAGTACCAGACCAATATCATCTGTGTAAGGTAAAGGTCATGACCACCGCAAGTAAAGCTGTATGACCTCAAGGTCAGTGTTACCACAATATCATTTGTGTAATGACAAGGTCATGACCACCACAAGTTAAGCTGTATGACCTCAAGGTCAGTATTACCACAATATCATCAAAGGTCATTACCGCAAGGTCAGCTGAGTAACCTCAAGGTCGTTACATGTACCACATAAAGGTCATCCATGTAATTTCAAGGTCATTACAACCACCTCAAGGTCATTATAACATGTGTCATTCATGTATTCTCAGGGTCATTACCACTTCAATGTCATCCCTGTAACCTCAAGGACATCATCATTACCATTTCATCCATATGACGTACCTCAAGGTCATTGCCACTGAAAGGTCATCCATAAAGCCTCGAGCTTGTTAAAACATTTCGTCAATGTTTATATCGAGTAATTTTGGAAGATGGCAAAACTGAAGATAAGATTTGTGTGATGTTAACTTTCTATAATATATATTACTCTTAATCTGCATGTAACAAAATGAGAATTCTTCCTAAAATTAATAAGTGCCAGTGTCTGGGGGTATTCTGATATGTGATACAGATGAGAGATAAGATACTAAAGTATATTTTGTGTGTGTGTATTACACAGGAGAAGGCCCGGACTCCAAGGACAAAATCTACTCCATCTTCCCTATAGAAAACCAGGAACTCGTCTATGGACGCTGGGAGGACGATATTATCTGGGATTCAGAGGTGAGTCCATCAGGCCGTATTCCCCTTTATCATACTTGATACTCCAGGGGTTACACACACTTTTGTTCTCTATGACATATTCCAGGGATGCAATGAGCGAAAGTGAGTGAAACCCCTGGAGTATCGAGGATGCCCCTTTACCTACCTGCCACCTTATGCAATATAGCAGGAAATTTTATTTTCTATTTAGTTGTACTTTCATTTTCAGCTACAAATTTCAATACCTCAAATATGTGAACAAACAAACTAACTCAAATTACAACTTACTAGTAAACTATGAAATTTTGCACGAAGGAAATAGTTTGTTAATGTGAAACTGCAGAAGAAAGTACCCACAAAATTAAGTACAGTACTACATGAGAAACCTGATACAAATGTACTTATTTTGTCTCTTTCTTTTGCAGAATATGACCAAGATCCCTAAGCCACAAGTCTTGACCCTTGACCCAAATGATGATAACATTATACTTGAACTTCCAGAGGATAATGACCCAAATGCCAAATCTGTACCAGCTAAAAAAGAAAAGGTAAGCCCTTTAAATGTCACTCAGATTTATGAATTTTTCAGATTTTTGTTGTTAAAAGAAATTATCTAAAAAAACACTGACTATTTGTCAACCAAACTTCAAATATTTCAGTGGATAATTAACAGTTAAATATTATTAAATTAATTTAGGTCCATGAAAAGATTGTGACTAGTTATTTAAAAGACTATTGTTTCAAATGACATGTGGAATTGTTTTTTGAAAAAACTGCGGGAGACACAGAAGTGAAATGACAAATTTACTCGGGTCTTCTTTTTGAATGAACTTTGGTTTAACCTTAATAAAAAATATTGTTTTGATATAAAAGGTTTAAAAAGTACACATTTCAAAATGAATCCACAATTCTTTAATGTCATTGAGATATGTTGATAAAGTCGTAACTTTCTGGTGTGTTTTGTATTGCAGGAGATTAAGAAGTCCAAGCTGTTACTGAACAAAGCTGGTATTACTAAGGAGGACGAGGAAGATGAGGAAAAGGTACTAAGTCCCTTATTTCAGGGACTTTAATTGTGTCTCTATGAAATGAATTATATAATAATGTGGAGGTTACCTCAAAGCCAGTGTAGTTTACTGAATTATAATACTAGATTTTAAAGTTGAAAAAAAAAAGGAAATATGATATTAAGTGAAAAGTCACTTAAAATATTGTAGTGGTACTGGTAAGTGGAATGCACTGTAATAGAAAAAACGGTCTTTATTTAAAAAACTGATTATTAAGCCAAGGATATTTTATGTGTTTTTTGTAGAATGCACCCAACCTACAGGAGAAGGATCCATTTAATATTTCTAATGATGAATACTACAGTCCAAAAACTATGGAGAATGCAGTGAAAGGCAACCTTGGGGGAAGTCTGATACAGGTAAACTGACTAGTGTGTGGGCAGTGTCATGTTCTATCTCAAGTGGGAAAATATAATACATTCAAAGGTTTTAAGCAAATGATGCTACTCCAGGTAATTTTTACTGTATGTGATATTGTCTTAGCTAAAATCATGTTAAATTTTGATATTTGTGAATTAAACCTTTTAGATTCTTAATATTTGAAAACAAATTTTGACTTCTCAAATGTGTTGTTATATTTTGTATATCAAGTCACAAACATTTAAAATACTTTCACTTTAACATAGTTTGACTGCCTAAATTTTTCAACAGCATTCAACACCCAGCCTGGAGTTACGACAGCCATTCTTCCCTACCTACATGGGTATCGGAAAGCTCCGCACCTTCCACAGAAATACTCTGAAGAGATATTCCCACGGCGCCTTGTCCATGCCTGGACCGCACGCAGTACTGCCTCTCCTCAAACAAATAAAGAGGAAGGCTAGAGTAAGTGTTTCAGTGTTCTTTTAGCTCAAAAAGTTACTACCATTTTACACGAAAGGGGTATATGTTTTTATCACTTTGTTAATTCAACAATATTTTGTTATAATATCAAGTCATACATAAAGAGACCTTACTATTTTACTAACAGTGGTTTTAAGTTTGAGTACGTCAAGTGTAGAATTAATTTTTTACCTGTAGTGAAAATAGCCTTGATTACCCTTGGTGTATATGCAATGAAGTGAAACTAGAGAAAGTATGAAAGGAAATCTTTGTGACGAGTACATATTACCGGCTCGTATTAGGTGATAAGCCCATCCTCTACTTTTGACATGTTTTTATGCACAAGCCCCCTGGGCTTATCACCGGTAAAATGTGGTAACTAATATGATGTGAAAAAGCAAGGCACTAGGCTTGGATAGTTGCAAACTGTGGATGGATTGAATCTGCCAGCAGAGTTATCTGTTCATTGGTGATCGCCCCGGTCCAAATCAGAAATATAATTGTTTCTTGTAATAACAGCTGTATGTAGTTTTATAGAGTGCGTTGGTTTACACTATGGGTGTTGGTATGTTGTAGTTGTAATAACAGCTGTATGTAGTTTTATAGAGTGCGTTGGTTTACACTTTGGGTGTTGGTATGTTGTAGTTGTAATAACAGCTGTATGTAGTTATATAGAGTGCGTTGGTTTACACTATGAGTGTTGGTATGTTGTAGTTGTAATAACAGCTCTATGTAGTTATATAGAGTGGGTTGGTTTACACTATGGGTGTTGGTATGTTGTAGTTGAGGGACCAGGAGAGACAGGCGTATGGAGGAGGTGAGATTTTCTTCATGAGGATTGCCCAGGATCTTACTGGCATGGACGGGGAGTTGATTCTGGCCGAATACTCGGAGGAGTATCCTCCCTTGGTAATGCAAGTTGGCATGGCAACCAAAATAAAGAATTACTATAAAAGAGTAAGTACTTGGGAGTTTTGTTTCTGTACAATTAGAAAAATAATCTGTCAATCACTAATAGTAATTTCTTTTCTTTTCACTTAATTCCACCATTTCTGGAATGAAAAAATAAGAAATAAAAGAAAACTGATGGAAATGGGAAACCTTTGTTATACAATGTGGTAGATGAGTCTGTCAGATGTTATGAGAGCTTATATGGATGTTTGTTTTGTTCAGAAACCTGGTAAAGATACAAGCCCCCCTCTGTATAAGTATGGGGAGCTGGCCTATGCACATACATCTCCCTTTCTTGGGTCGCTCAATCCAGGACAGTGTATCCAGGCCTTCGAAAACAATATGTTTCGTGCATCAGTATTTGAACACAAAGTCCCAGAGACGGATTTTGTTATCATCAGGAAACGAGACAAGTAAGGAAGGCATATTTTTATTTATAGACATAACTGGTATTATGTGACAAAATCCTGTTCTATTGTTCCGGTTGATTTAAACAATCAAAGTTGAGTGATTAACTAATTGCTTCATTTATACTTAATATTAACCAACATGTACCGTAAAAAACCATGTAATTTGCGCACTTTTTTTTCAGAAATTTAATACCCAAAGTGGGGGGTGCGCAAAATACATAGGTATAAGCAATTTCAAGTTATTTTCATGAAAAGATCGACGATTCTGGCAGACCGCCATCATGGACACAAGATAATCACCCCTTGGTACACGGAACTCAACGACAAACGACGATCAACACATTTATTTATGTCAAACAACAATAAAAGATACAATTGATTCATACTGTGTTGTTACCCGGGTTTATGTGAAAAGTATTATTAAATATGTAACTGTTAACAAAGAAAGTTTAGCCAAATTCCTATGCCAGAGAATCGCCGATCAACTTACGTTTCGACATCTCGGTGCGTTTCCCCCATACTATAACGAAAATGTAGTTGTTCAATTTAAGCTCCGTTCCATGTAAGTTCTGTAAATCCTAAGAATCCCAAGCGGTTTGTCTTTCATTTTTAGAGATCGATTTTCAGAACTTGAACATGGTTTTTTTACTCAACATTTTTTTGGTGACCTAAATATTTGAGTAGAAGCTTTTTTGGGGATTTTCAGCCTTAAAAAAGTACCTGCGCAAATTACATAGGTGCGCAAATTAGATGGGTTTTTACGGTATTTGTTTAGTGTAATGGATCAACAGGGATGGTCGTAGAAAATTATTCAAATATAATAAATAAAACACCAACAAAAGTTTCAATGTCACTATGTGTTTACCAGCAGTAGACAGATCTGATGTACATGTAGATTTTCACCTTTTCCTATTGGTGAACAAGGAAATGTAACATTAGGATTTAATTAGGTTGTACCTGTCAAGAAATACAGCATGTAATGTTTGTGTTGTGTAGTTACTACATCAGAGAAGTGTGAAATACAGCATGTAATGTTTGTGTTGTGTAGTTACTACATCAGAGAAGTGTGCACTATTTACTGTGTGGGACAGGAAGCGACCATGATGGAAGTGCCTGGCCCAAACTCCAAGCGTGCTAACAACTTCATCAGAGATTTTCTACAGGTACCTACTGTCAACAAAGAGTCATGTCTTGTTTGAAAAAATATGCTCTTGTTGTTATATTTCTGAAAATCAAAGTTTACCACTGATATAATGGATTTTTTATCCAATAATCTTTTTGCTGATTGAATATTATGATTAACACACTTGTAGAGTTTTACATTCAAATAAATATATAAAACCTGTTTTGTCATATGGAAGCTATTATCAACAGAGTTTTTCCGCCTGTGAAATGAGCAGTTCATATTCAGATGTCCACTGTGGATAAATACTTTTGAATCTTTAAAGGTTTTCATCTATCGCCTGTTTTGGAAAAGCAAAGATGCACCGAAAAGAATCAAAATGGATGATATCAAACATGCATTTCCCTCTCACTCTGAGAGCAGTATCAGAAAGAGGCTCAAATTGTGTGCAGACTTCAAACGCACAGGTGAGTTATGAAACTTTAAACAACTAACTTTGATATATTTTACTGTTAAATAAATTTTTCAAGAAAACTTCACGACCTTGCATTGAAGTGAAAGGACCTTGTATTTGGAGGATAATTTCAAAGAAGTAAATTAAATTCTTTGTTATTGATGTATCCATGTGTATGTACTGCCAGGTATTGTCATAGTAGTAAAAGAAGTGAGAATCATTATAATGAAAAAGTTTTTCTTTTTATTATTGAATCATTTCTGACTTTCATCAGCATGTTGAACTTCGGATTTTAGATCATGAAAAACTTGTTAATAAGTAGCCATTATCTGTGTTTCACTTATACAATGTATATCATTTAAATTAGTTCCAATTTTTACACATTTTGTTTGTAAGACAACTAGTGTGATATGTCACTGAAAATTAAATATTTCAGAGGAGCCAGATGAATATGGTAGTTGGTGTTTTTGTTTAAGTGTTCTTGGTTGTGAAGGACCAACACAGATACATTGTACCATCATTAAACATAATATCGTAAATATAATATCATAAACATAGCATGCTTTGTCTGCTCAGGAATGTGACTACATTTGTTGTGAAAAATAAGAAATTAAAGATGAAGAATTGTGAAATTAAAACTCCAAAAAGACAACTACATTTTATTTACCTGATAAAGACAGGACTTTCTCCTAATAATATTGTAAACCTGGCATATATACATGATTTTAATTCAGTGATTACCTATTTTATTTATTGCAGAAAGTTAAATAATCTGAACAAATTGTTTGTTTCATTTAAAACTTTTTACTGTGTAAGCTGTGTTTCCATATTGGTCCTTCTGTCAACTTTGATTATTAGCTCACTGGGTCCGAAGGACCAAGGTGAGATTATGCCATACCGTGGCGTTCGTCGTCCTCCGTCTGTCGTCCGTCCGTCAACAATTTCTTTAAATGACTTCTTCTTCTAAACTGCTGATTGGAATTCAACTAAATTTGACTGGAAGCATTCCTAGGTGGTGGGGATTCAAAATTGTACAAATGGTGGGGCTGACCCCCCAAGGGGCTGAGGGGCAGGTCAAAAGGGGGCAATTTGGCTATATTGCTATTAACGACTTCTTCTGTAGAACTATGCCATGGATATGGATCATATTTGGTAGGAAGCATTCATGGGAGGCAGGGATTAAAAATTGTACAAATGGTGGGGCTGACCAACTGGGCTAAGGGGTGGGGCCAAAGAAAGTTTATTACTTGGAAATGGTTGACATCCCCACCGTATAACCATGTAGAATGCACATTTGCTTCCAGGATGGCCCTAGGGTCTGGCCTCACCCTTGGAGACATAGTCCCTGGGTCATAACTTTGAAACAGTTGAGATCCCCACCCCAGAACTATATATACAAATGCTGGACATAAAGAGACGAATGCAGTCTTGATATTAGAATAGACCCTGGGGTCTCACCAAACCCCTAGGGAACTAGTTTCTAAGTCACACCTTGGAAACAGTTGAGATCCCCACCTTATAACCATATATACAATTGCTGAGTATAAAGTGAAGAATGCACATATGCTTCCAGGATGGCCTTGGGGTCTGCCCCACCCTTGTAGACTTAACCCCTGAGTCATGACTTCAAAATGGTTAAGATCCCCACCCCAAAACTATATATACAAATGCTGGGCATAAAGAGACGAATGCAGTCATGATATTAGAATTGATCCCAGGGTCTGTCCCACCCTTGCAGACTTAACCCCTGGGTCATAACTTCGAAACCGTTGAGATTCCTACCCCAAAACTATAAATACAAATGCTGGGCAAAAAGAGACGAATGCAGTCATGATATTAGGATTGATCCTGGGGTCTGACTTCAACCTTGTTTCTGAGTCACAACTTGGAAACAGTTGAGATCCCCATCCCATACATAAAATTGCTGGGCATGAAAAATCTAATGCAGATATGCTACAAGGATTGGCCTTGGGGTCGGGCATATTCCCTTGGATCTCATTTGGAGAATATTTTGCCATGATTGCTTAGATATCGTGGTGAGCGATACGGGCCCTCTGGGCCTCTTGTTATATTTTATGTTTCCTTAATTGGTGTTTCAGTTTTCAGAGTTAACTTTTTTTAACGATGATTGGGTTTATTGATTCTAGTAGACCAGTGTTGTCAAATGATCTTAGTTATTGTTGTTTGTTATCTGAATTTTGCCATTGCAATAAAAATACAAACTTGTGATGTCAGTTATACATGTACCTCTGTTAGAGGTGAGATTTACCTCTGTTAGAGGTGAGATTTATTACTCCAGAGATAGTTTTAGATTTCCTTTTAGTTGTAAGATATTTTATATTCACTTTTCAGGGGTTTTCATGCCTTTATGTTTTGACCCGACTCCTAGTAATGTTACGAATTTGTTTCTTTCCAATTTGATAAGGGAATTTACCAAAAGCTGAAATATAAATCATTTTCATTAGATTATGCATTCAGCAGAATGAACACTACTTACTGTTCTAAAATATATATTTTGTAGATGCTTTGTAACATGAAGGAATTCAAAGAAAAAAATAAATAAATGAAAACTTAAATATAAGTAAAAATGGTTCAAGATGCAATTGAAGTTCCCAAATCACACATGGAAACCCAAAAAAATCAATATACAAAATTAGAAAATAATGAGAAAAATAATATTGATTTGAATTGGATTGGACTTGTACTGTCGGCAGCTTTGATTTCATGCAGTATTGATTATCAGACAAATGCATGTACAAAGATCTAGAGTTTTTCATGCAGTGTTGAATTTGGAGATATAAAATTGTATTATGTTTGCTGTCATTTTGAATTCTTAGATTCACCTGACAAAGATAGCTTTATATACAGTAATATTTATAGTAAGACATTGGTAACTACCTGGTGTATGTTCAGCTATACGTATTGGGAGTTTATTGGTTTGTGATATGTACCAGGTATGGACTCTAACTGGTGGGTGCTGAAGCCAGACTTCCGCCTGCCTACAGAGGATGAGATGAGGGCTATGGTGTCCCCGGAACAGTGTTGTGCCTACTACAGCATGTTGGCTGCTGAACAGAGGCTGAAGGTCAGCTGTCCTCCTTACTGTTTTACACGTAACAGCTTGTATCTGTCAATACAGGCAAAAGGTGTCTCGACTATATTGTAATGAAAGGTCAACATCATCCTTTGTGAGCTTAATAAATATCCATATATGCAGCAATGCTGTGATGTATTATTGTGTATCATAGACCTATACCCAGTATATTTTACCCATTACTCGTACCTGCCTGGAGTTTTCTCTTGCCCCAATACCAGACTTTCAACATTTTGACAGATAAATGTGTATTGTTGGGCCATAGTTGAATGCTATACCTGAACATGTAATTCTGTGACTTGTTATAATATTTCCATTTTTTGTATGTATGGCATAGTAAATGTGCTATAAGTGCTGGGTAATATCAATTGAAAGGTTGGGATAATGCTTCTATTTTTTGTGTAGGACGCTGGGTATGGAGAGCGGTCATTATTTGCTCCAGAGGATGACAACGAGGAGGAAACACAGATGAAGATAGAAGATGAGGTTTGTTTAAACATTATTAACTGCATCATAGGATATTTTTTCACACATTACATGCTAGTCAGTACCTACAGGAGTAAAAGCAAATCTCTGATATAGTTCTACAATCACTGTTACAGAAAATTTGCAAATACTTGAAATATTTTTTTAATAGAATTTAAGAGCAATTGAGTTAACATTTAATCTCTTTCCACTTTTGTTGTGTTCCCCAGGTAAAAACGGCCCCATGGAACACAACAAGGGCCTTTATAGCCTCTCTCAAGGGTAAGTGTCTGCTGGATCTGACAGGTGTCGCCGACCCTACCGGCTGTGGCGAGGGCTTCTCCTACGTGAAAGTACCTAACAAACCACAGCCTAAGGAAGAGGGCCAGCAACAGACACCACAGAAAAAGACTGTCACTGGAACTGATGCTGATCTCCGCAAGCTCTCCCTCAAGGACGCTAAGCAGTTGCTGAGGAAATTTGGACTGCCAGATTCTGAGGTAACAGTTGCTGTTAAAGTTTCAGTTATCATTTTGCGGGCAAAGTACACTGTATGTATAATACTAGGTACAGGGTAATTTTTATGGCAGCATTATTTTTGTGAAATTCTTTGAAATAAATAGATATGCAGATTCCAACACAACAGAAAACATCTGTCCTGAAGTAACACTAAAACATTATTAATAAAAACAAATCAAATGCTACATTTGTACTATTTTTATGAAAACATGAAAACATAATGAGACATGAAACCTGTATCCTGTATATAATTTTTTTAACGACATTTACTGAACATGCTTACTTTTAAATTTTGTGTCTTGGAATGCCACATTAATGTGTGTTCCCAGATAAGAAATTACCTCATGAATATTTAACTCTGTTGTGAACTGATTTCTTATCTCACCTAGGGTTCACAATTAATTTGTTTTGGCTAGAACTGGATTATTTTTGTAAATCCTTCAACAAGTCAGTTGTGTCTGATATAGACAGAAAGAAGGTGATATAGTCTCGTCATACATTAAATATGTATACATATACAAAGCATCAATGTTGATATGTCACAGAATATTTAATATGTGTACATACACACTAAGTATTAAAGTTTATGTCTCAGATCCGCAAGTTGTCTAGATGGGAGGTGATAGATGTGGTCAGGACAATGTCTACAGAGCAGGCCAAGGCTGGACAGGATGGTCAAGGTTAGTAACCTTTCTCAGGCCATTTACATTGGACCAGTCTGTTATTTGGTCCATACATTTAGCAGTAAAATTTGTGCATATTGAAATAAAGGTGTTCAATGTCAACTATTAATTATGTTAGAGCTGATGGCAATACTTTTGTAATGTTTTGATTTCATTGGTTGAAGGGTTGGAATTATAATTTTGATTTCCTTTTAAGTACCAGTTACACCTTAGACATAGTGTGAGAATTTCCTCGGCTGATGTGTTTCAGTGGGTATGAGTAAGTTTGCGAGAGGGAATCGGTTCTCTGTAGCAGAGCACCAAGAGCGTTACAAAGAGGAGTGCCAAAGAATTTTTGACCTGCAGAATAGGTAAGAATCAAAGCAAACAGCATGTTGGTATGATGACTGCTATGCATCTTTTTCAATCATGATATTGATTTTGAGACTTTGCACATGTTGGTCTTGAATTTATACACTCCTTGGCCCTTTGAGATATTTTACATCCTGAGTATCTATAAGCATTACAGTAAACCTTCGGTCAGTTCAAAATAGGCAGATAATTTGAAAAATAAAAATGTCAATACTTAAGAAAACATTTACTGCTTTGCAGTCTGCATATCGTAATAGGCTGTTGTTGTCCAGTATCAATGACTTGACGTGATTTTTGCCGATGTCGAATCAGATGGTTGGAACTACTTTTCATTTTAGCGGCTTATTTTGTGTAATCGAACAGGATTAACAATATTTATTTAATTTTGTTGGGTTTGACTGGAGGTTTACCATGAATGTAATTTATATAACCTATATTTTAACAAACTGCTTACAGCAGATTTTCTATACTCATGGCTGTTATTGTGTTGTGATTATCCTTTCATGCTCAGTATGACAGAAACGATGTGGTTTAAGATCTGTTGTGGAAATCAGTTTTGCTTGTTTAAGAAACTAATCAGTTCACATCCTGATTGTGTTTTTGTACAGAGTGTTATCCTCAAATGAAGTCTTGTCTACTGACGACGATTCAAGCTCCGGGAATGAATCTGACTTTGAGGAAATGGGCAAGAACCTTGAAAGCATGCTGGTCAATAAGAAAACAAGTTCTCAGGTATTAATGTTGATTCTGTGGGAATCAGAAGTAAATTTTGATGAGATTTTGTATGACAAGACAAAATAGGGTCACATACATGATGGAACTCTTGTCTTTGTTCCTCACCAAACCTATACTTTCCTAATCTAGGTGGAGTAAAGAATGAAATTTAAGAATAGGCTAAGTGGGTAATCTTCCATATTAGACACACTAGTCATGTGCCTAGTGCTTTAGGGATTACATCTAGGTTGAATTGATCTGATATGCATGTCATGTCTTAGAGTAATGTTATTAATGTAAGCATGACAGATCAGATGACCAGTTTTACCTGTATAAGTTCTGACTGCACCGCGACTCTAACCCACTGTCATTTGTACTTTATACTTGATAAAGAAAACATGTCCATAACTTCTTATCAATGCTTGTATAATTACCAATTTTGTTCTGTGTACTATCCTTCCAAACTGATGAATCAGATTCGAGCACCTTATTCTTGTGTCTTAAATATTTCTAGTAATTTTGAGGTCAGAGTTGTAAAATAGAGAAGAATTTAAAAAAAAAAATGTAAATAGTTAGCTGATTACCAAAGAATGCAACAGTAGCATACAAAACAAATGAGGATTTTATTTCTTACCCATTAGATAAAGAGTCTCACTCCCAGAAAATATTCCAGATAATTGTATGGAAAATGTAAATGTAGCTCTATACTCTGAGTTTGGATTATTTTGCTTTTATAAATATATCATTGCCTCTAGATTAAATATTTTGTTGTATCAATCGGCATGGTTTGTTTTGGTTTGTAATAGCTGAGCCATGAGAGAGAAGAGGCAGAGAGACGGGAGCTTCACAAGATGATGTTGTTGGGCGAGGACAGCAAAGACAAGAACAAGCAAAAGGAAGATGACCTAAATGCAGCAAACATGGTAGGTAGCTAGTTGCTGTCTGTAGTATATATAGACAGCTAACATGGTAGGTAGCTAGTCGCTGTCTGTAGTATATATAGACAGCCAACATGGTAGGTAGCTAGTCGCTGTCTGTAGTATATATAGACGGCCAACATGGTAGGTAGTAAGGCTCAGTCTGTAGTATATATATACAGCCAACATGGTAGGTAGTGAGCCTCAGTCTGTAGTATATATAGACGGCCAACATGGTAGGTAGTGAGCCTCAGTATGTAGTATATATAGACAGCTAACATGGCAGGTAGGGAGCCTCAGTCTGTAGTATATATAGACAGCCAACATGGTAGGTAGCTAGTTGCTGTCTGTAGTATATATAGACAGCTAACATGGTAGGTAGGGAGCCTCAGTCTGTAGTATATATAGACGGCCAACATGGTAGGTAGTGAGCCTCAGTATGTAGTATATATAGACAGCTAACATGGTAGGTAGTTAGCCTCAGTCTGTAGTATATATAGACAGCCAACATGGGAGGTAGCTAGTTGCTGTCTGTAGTATATATAGACAGCCAACATGGTAGGAAGCTAGTTGCTGTCTGTAGTATATATAGACAGCCAACATGGTAGGGAGCTAGTTGCTGTCTGTAGTATATATAGACAGCTAACATGGTAGGGAGCCTCAGTCTGTAGTATATATAGACGGCCAACATGGTATGTAGTGAGCCTCAGTCTGTAGTATATATAGACGGCCAACATGGTAGGTAGCTAGTCGCTGTCTGTAGTATATATAGACAGCCAACATGGTAGGTAGTGAGCCTCAGTCTGTAGTAAATATAGACAGCTAACATGGTAGGTAGTGGGCCTCAGTCTGTAGTATAAATAGACAGCTAACATGGTAGGTAGTGAGCCTCAGTCTGTAGTATATATAGACAGCTAACATGGTAGGTAGTGAGCCTCAGTCTGTAGTATATATAGACAGCTAACATGGTAGGTAGTGAGCCTCAGTCTGTAGTATATATAGACGGCCTACATGGTAGGTAGTGGGCCTCAGTCTGTAGTATATATTGACAGCTAACATGGTAGGTATTGAGCCTATGTCTGTAGTATATATAGACGGCCAACATGGTAGGTAGTGAGCCTCAGTCTGTAGTATGTATAGACAGCTAACATGGTAGGTAGTGAGCGTCAGTCTGTAGTATATATAGACGGCCTACATGGTAGGAAGTGGGCCTCAGTCTGTAGTATATATTGACAGCTCACATGGTAGGTATTGAGCCTATGTCTGTAGTATATCTAGACGGCCAACATGGTAGGTAGTGAGCCTCTGTCTGTAGTATATATAGACGGCCAACATGGTAGGGAGTGAGCCTCAGTCTGTAGTATATATAGACGGCCTACATGGTAGGAAGTGGGCCTCAGTCTGTAGTATATATTGACAGCTAACATGGTAGGTATAGAGACTATGTCTGTAGTATATATAGACGGCCAAAATGGTAGGTAGTGAGCCTCAGTCTGTAGTATGTATAGACAGCTAACATGGTAGGTAGTGAGCGTCAGTCTGTAGTATATATAGACGGCCTACATGGTAGGAAGTGGGCCTCAGTCTGTAGTATATATTGACAGCTCACATGGTAGGTATTGAGCCTATGTCTGTAGTATATCTAGACGGCCAACATGGTAGGTAGTGAGCCTCCGTCTGTAGTATATATAGACAGCTAACATGGCAGGAAGTAAGGCTCAGTCTGTAGTATATATAGACGGCCAACATGGTAGGTAGGGAGCCTCAGTCTGTAGTATATATAGACAGCTAACATGGTAGGTAGTAAGGCTCAGTCTGTAGTATATATAGACGGCCAACATGGTAGGTAGTGAGCCTCAGTCTGTAGTATATATAGACAGCTAACATGGTAGGTAGTGAGCCTATGTCTGTAATATATATAGACAGCCAACATGGTAGGTAGTGAGCCTCAGTCTGTAGTATATATAGACAGCTAACATGGTAGGTAGTAAGGCTCAGTCTGTAGTATATATAGACAGCCAACATGGTATGTAGTGAGCCTCAGTCTGTAGTATATATAGACAGCCAACATGGTATGTAGTGAGCCTCAGTCTGTAGTATATATAGACAGCCAACATGGTAGGTAGCTAGGCGCTGTCTGTAGTATATATAGACGGCCAACCTGGTAGGTAGTGAGCCTCAGTCTGTAGTATATATAGATAGCTAACATGGTAGGTAGTGAGCCTCAGTCTGTAGTATATATAGATGGCCAACATGGTAGGTAGCTAGTCGCTGTCTCTAGTATATATAGACAGCTAACATGGTAGGTAGTAAGGCTCAGTCTGTAGTATATATAGACAGCCAACATGGTATGTAGTGAGCCTCAGTCTGTAGTATATATAGACAGCCAACATGGTATGTAGTGAGCCTCAGTCTGTAGTATATATAGACAGCCAACATGGTAGGTATTGAGCCTCAGTCTGTAGTATATATAGGCAGCCAACATAGTCAGTAGTGGAGTTAAGTCAACCTGCTACATGTGATATATATAGTATACTATTAATGATTGTTTTATTATTCAGACTGGTCGCAAATTAAAGATCACAAGAACATTTAGAAATGATGAAGGAAAGGAATACACGAGGACAGAATGGGTGTTAAAGCCAGCAGTGATCGATACCTATGTGAGGATCCGGGAGAAGAAGGACCCTTCCTTTATGTAGGTCACAACTAATCTAAGTTTGATGTTGTCAGGTCATCTCTTTTTTTGCATTTTGATAACTCTCATGGCCAGACTAGTGATAACTCTCATGGCCAGACTAGTGAATTCCAGTTAGGAATCCATCAACTGGGTACACAGAACTTCACTGAACTTCCACTAGAGGATGTTGGGTCTCATTTTCCTTGTAATATAAGTTTGTTAGTCATTGGGAAGTTTTAATATCCTTCACCTTGCATTCATTGAAAAACTTAGGCATCCTTCCACATCTCTCAGCATCCTTCCACATCTCTCAGTCATTCGGAGGCTTGAATAGCCCTAATTCATTCAGAAACTTCAATATCATTAAAACGATAAGTATTTTAAAAAAATGTAGAGTTTTCTTAGTTATAGTTATGATTTAAATAAGAAAAATTAATTATTTTTTTTGCTTTGTTTACATTTAGCTACATCAACATTAGGAAATACAGTATAACCAGTCTAAACTGGCCCTTGTCCAATCCAGATCCCTGTCTAAACTGGCTTTATTTCTGGCATTTGGTTGGATTATATTTTTGTATCATTCTATAATAATGGTTTCTGTCATAGTTGGAAGAAGCAGTATTTTATGAAGAAGATTGTATGGTGATAAATTTCTACACTTTTTTTTTCCAGTAAAAATTTTGCAGCTATGGATGATTCTATGAAAGAAGACATGAGGAGGGAAAAAAGAAGGTTTGTATTATGTAGAAGCCCGGCAACTTTATGGTCTTAGTACATAGAAAATCGTGCCTGGATTAGGATTCACAAATTGCTGTCATTCCGAAAGTTCTTAAATTTACAAGACAGGATTAATATTGGGAAATATATGTTCCCTTTCATGTCCTTTGTGAAACACACAGTTCTGAGATTTAATGTATTTTTAGCCCACCATCATTTGATGGTGGACTATTCAAATCACCCTGCGTCCTTCGTCCGTCCTTAAACAATTCTTGTTATTGATATTTCTCAAGAAGTACCAGAGGGATCGGATAAACAACATGGCCGACAGGCACCCATCTTGGATTTTAATATTGAAAGTTTGTTACCGCTATTTCTCCGGACGCATCTGAGGGATCTTTCTTAAATTTTATATGTAGGTTCCCCTTGGTCCCTTGTTGTGAAGGGCAACTATTAAGACAGATCAGATAAACAACATGGCCGACCGACAGCCATCCCATCCCCTTGGTATGAAGTTATGCATATTTTCTTATGAGACTGATCGAATAAACAAATCTTTGATTTTGACAGTTAAGGTTTGTTAGTGTTATTTCCCAGGAAGTACTGGAGAGTTCTTTCTCAAATTCTATATGCAGGTTCCCCACTATCCTTTATTGTTCATGTTTACTTTTGAAACTGATCAGTTAAACAAAATGGCCTACCAACAGCCATCTTCGGTTTTTGACATTGAAGGTTTCTTAGTACTCTTTCTCAGGAATAACTTGAGGGATCTTTCTCAAATTTAATATGTACGTTCCCCTTGATCCCTCGTTGTGCATGTTATATTTTGAGACTGATTATAAAAACAAAATGGCTAAAGGAAGAACTAAACAGATCCTTCTCATATTGCAATGATCGATTCTGTTTCTTTCACATTAAGTACTGTACTAGTAAATATGTGAAATGACAAACTCACTTTGAAGGTTGGCTTTCATACACATCAGTATTAAGTTTAGATCAAAAGTTACCTCAAGGTGCATTTACTGTTAACATGACTCGATCAAACAGATTAGAGGAAAGAAGAGAAAAGATCGAACTGACAAAGAACTAATGAAGATGGTACAATGGTGGGCGCCAAGATCCCTCTGGGATTTCTTGTTAATTAATCTCACAAAGATCTGTATGACAAATTATGATTTAAAGGATGTTTGCATTTGTGAACAGTAGAATTATGTAGTTTTCTTTTTTCAACAGACTACAGGAACGACTCAGAAGGATTAAGAGAAATGAGGAGAGAGAGAAATTTGCTCCACCCCCAGTAAAGAAGAAGAAGAAGCAAGAGCCTCTCTCCATCAAAGCCAGCAAGGTAGCGTTATTCTTTAAGCCTTGTAAAGGTGTAGGGAAAAGTAATTCTTATACACTAGAAAACAACCAAATGTTGCCAGAATAGTTTTTGTGGCAAGGGATTTTGTGCCAAAGTAATCTTGAACTTAAACCATTTTAAAGATCTTCTGAGCCATTTCCACTCCAGTAAGCTTGAATGCCCTTGTGCCTCTTGTATGAGATAAAGCTAGAAATTGTATTTGATTGTTAACAGCTGAAGTGTGGTGCCTGTGGTCAGATTGGTCACATGAGGACCAATAAAGAGTGTCCCAACTACAACAAAGTGGGTAACGTAGCCCCAGTCCAGGTCGCCATGACACAGGAGGAGGAGGAAGAGGAGGAGAAGAACCTCCTGGTCGACAATGACCTCATTAATGTGGAGGGAACGAAAATCAAGTTCTCTAAGAACCTGGTGGAGCAGTAAGTATGATAGTGCAAATGTGTCTCAGCAGTGTTGCGAGTCAAATTTGCTATGAAGCTGGATATCTTAAATATCCTTATACTTTCCGTGCTTTTGCAGAGAAGAGTTCAAATGTGTCTTCAGGGGAGAATGAGTTAATTTAAAAATGGATTAACACTATGCAATTTCAAATATCCTACTTATCATAAATGTTTCTCGTGATCGCCAAGGCCTTAAAATGCATTAAAACATAACTTACCTATGTTTTGGTTGATGGCATTGTAAGGATTTTTTTTTAATTTTCAGTGCGGAACAAGTGAAGAGGAAGTCCCTTCTGCTCAAGTTCCCAAAGCAGGCATATAAACCGGAGAAAAAGAAGCGTGTGGGATCGGTCATACATTGTGACTACCTGAAGGTATGCTATCTAAAATTATCCTCCAAGTCCTTAAGTAATTATCCTTAAGAGGTTAAGTGGCTTAAATGGAATCAATGCTTTAGTATGTGTTTTAGGGAGTTTTTAGTGAGTTTGGAACTTTTTATTTCAGAAACCGAAGCAGACATCCAATCGGCGAAGAACTGATCCCATTGTGACTTTGTCAACTGTACTGGAGAGTGTTCTGAATGAGATGCGAGACATGCCTAACGTATGTAATATATTGCTAGACACACAATAGTTATATAAAAAGGTGTAATAGAATTCAATACATATCTATCAAATCTTCCCATATAATGTGATTCAACCATTTTTCACCTAAGCAATACAAAGCCTTGTATTACCACTGTACTTACAGGAGATGTGGTATAATCCCAGTAGTTGGACTCCTTTTGGCTGGTACTTGTTGGTTTGGTATCAGTTATTCAAATCAACGAATTAAAACAATAATGGATAATAATAATTTAAGTGACGTTTATGTTAAATACGGAATGTGAAGTCAGCATTCTGTCTGACATTGTTGTTCAGTTCAAGTTTAAAGGAAGCAAATTGAAAAAAGTACTGAGGAATGAGTCTTGTTTTACAGAAAGTATAGTAAGCATATAAAGATAATTGTAGGTGTGTAATAAAAGTAATACTACACACATATATATATAGTCATCTGAGATTGCACTCATTTATGGTGTGAATGGATATATTTCAGTCCGGGCTGAAATCTATCCACCTGTATATTCTGTGATGTCAGATAAACAGATACGTTTGGTATTGTCTGTGGTCATTTGGCTGTGTATTCTGTGATGTCAGATAAACAGATACGTTTGGTATTGTCTGTGGTCATTTGGCTGTGTATTCTGTGATGTCAGATAAACAGATACGTTTGGTATTGTCTGTGGTCATTAGGCTGTGTATTGTTGTGTGATATGGTATGTGTTATGTTTTGTATCCAGGCACAACCATTCCTGTTCCCTGTCAGTACTAAGGAAGTACCAGACTATTACAGGGTCGTCAAAATTCCTATGGACCTCCAGACCATCAGAGAGGTGTGCATATGTTTTATTGTTCAAAATAGTAGAAGGTTATTCCTCTGTTATAAAATATGTGGTGTTAAATCTTCTTTGTTTTTTGTGGTCAATTTTCATAAAATGATATGAATAAATGTATTAAAATCAAAATATCATTCTGTTTTCATGCCCAATTTTTCTTGTATATACGTCATATAATTTGAGAAGGGTCAACCTTGTACTGTTCTTATAAAAAAAATACCCATCAGTAATAACAATATACAGTGGCCTGATTGCAGTGAGCGTACGTTCAGTCACCTGTAGGCTTGCTCTGATGAGGATTTATCATGATATTTTTGTTTTTTTACAGGGTCTTCGAAACAAAAGATACATTTCCAGAGAAACTTTCCTCATCGATGTCAACCAGATTCTTGAAAACAGTAAGATGTACAATGGTGAGTTGAGTGGTCCATTCCTCATATGTAGTAGGACAAACATGTACATAGTGTAAAATGGTGAGTTGGTCGGTCATTGCCCAGTATATAGTCAGCACAATAGTGTACTCAATGTTATATTTATTATATATAGAGGTTGCCCAATGAGTGATAGTTGGTTATCATGTTTATGTAACTCTCATTGGTTAATTTTCCAATTGTATAAAGACACAAGGTTTACCAAGTGTCTTTTATAATTCGAAAATTAACTAACGAGAGTTTCATAAACATGACAATCAACTATCACAAGTTTTGGGATGTTTTTCTCTCTGACACAAGGTGCTGATATTATATCTAGAAAACCAACTGACAACAACTTATTATAAAATTGAGCACATCCTTCCTATGACAATATATTGGGATGCGTATTGCAATATGTTCATTCTGTATTGCAATATATCGCGATACACTCTTGCCATATTGTGACACCCCTCTTATTCATAGTAAAGTACTTGTATTTCAATACTTTTAGTCTAGTAGTTTTAGGTTATATGATACGCATGATACAATAATCATATAATCATCAATAAAATGTATTTGGCGAATTTACTTCTTTTTTCGGTAATTTAATTAGGTGTCCTACTGTTGTAAAATCATTTTCATTTATAAAATAACAACTTATCAAAAGCAAAAAAAATCATTGCTATGTTCATCCGATAAAACTTGTTTGGAACAAACTATGAAAACAAATGTATACAAAACATACGATCATTTATCTAAGTAACTATTGATTAACACTCTAAGTAATTTATCAATAAAAGAATTTATTCCATATATGAAATCTGTTCTATTTTTCTCAGGTGCAAAAAGTGCTTTGACTCTGACAGCCCAACAGCTGTTGAACTTGTGTCTGAAGCGATTTGCTGAGGTAGGTATTCACAATGTTAATTCTTTTGTATGAAAATTGCTATATACATGGTTCAAATATCACCTTATAGACATTGTAATATCACCTTATACACATTTTAATATCACCTTATAGACATTGTAATATCACCTTATAGACATTGTAATATCACCTTATAGACATTTTGATATCACCTTATAGACATTATAATATCACCTTATAGACATTGTAATATCACCTTATAGACATTTTAATATCACCTTATACACATTGTAATATCACCTTATAGACATTATAATATTACCTTATAGACATTGTAATATCACCTTATAGACATTATAATATTACCTTATACACCTTATAGACATTGTAATATCACCTTATAGACATTTTAATATCACCTTATACACCTTATAGACATTGTAATATCACCTTATAGACATTATAATATCACCTTATACACATTGTAATATCACCTTATGCACATTGTAATATCACCTTATAGACATTGTATTACCACCTCATAGACATCAATTGCGGGCTTTACAAAGTCACAAAAGGTTTGCAGTCAAACCTGCTTGAGAGACCACCTCAAGCTTTAACGTCCCCATAACAGTTAGTTACATGTTAACTAAATCTGTATCAACAGACCACTGACACTAAGTTACATGTTAACTGACTATGTATCAACAGACCACTGACAATAGTAGACACTTTCTGGGCTTTCTCTACAGCTCTCTCTGAATACATTACTTGTTTTATTGTACCTGAGTTTTATATAGGATGACTCATGTTAGTGTTCAGGATTTGAGATGTTAGTGTCGGTAAATGTTATGTCAGTGTGATGGGGTACTAGACAAAGACAAGTTGGTGAGATAGGATGAGAAGTATATACCTACATGGTGTAATTTTGACATTTTGTGATTTGTTTGTGATTTTTACTTTACAGAAAGAGGATAAGTTGATGAGGCTGGAGAAGGCCATCAATCCTCTCCTTGATGACAATGACCAGGTGGCCTTCACCTTCATCCTCGAGAATATCATAGCTCAGATGAAGGCAGTAGAAAATGTAAGTTTGTTGTCTACATCTACAACCATTACTTATTCTTAAGTTAAATGAGAGCTGTTGACTTTATGACTGTGAACCAACCCTTCTAAAAAACGATAACTCTTACAACTGAACTTGTTAGAACTTCATACTGTGATTGCAGAACTGCTGGACAATAGGCCCTATACATATTCAGATACATAATGGTGAAAAGCTGACAACCCTTCCTCATTAGGAGGGAGACGCCCTCATTTTGCCTAAAATTTACCAGTCTCCCTAGAATCTGTCTCATTCAAGTCCAAACTCACACGAACTCAAAATCTATATTCTGTGGTCAAATGATCTAGTTACTGCAGGGTGTGTGTAATGATTATAAAATGTGTGTCTGAATCAAATGAATGCCTTTTGGGTTAAAGGCATAAAATGGGAAAGATGAATTGGGCAAAGCAGTTTCAGTCGTATTTCAGCACTTTCTCCCTCATTTGATATGAGAAATGAGGGGGATCTCTCTCATTGGAGGTTTCATAGGTTGAATAATGGCCATTACTGGTGAACTAGGGGAAGATGTGTTCCTTAGAAATATTCATACTTTGAAATAATTTTGATTTGAATTTATAATTTTGATTATAAAATCACCAGACATATGCAGTTGTTTACTGTATCAATATTTGGGTGTTGTAGACATGGCCATTCCATGGTCCAGTAAACAAGAAGTTTGTCAAGGACTACTACGAGGTCATCCAACGTCCAATGGACCTTGCAACGCTGCTCAAGGTAAGGTGAAATTTGTTTATGCTTTAACGGCCCATCAACACAATAAGGTCACTTGGTGCCATTACATGGTGAAATGATGTGGTTGCTGATCGAGGGAGCAGGGAAGAGGAGATATAGACCATTGAGGGAGCAGAGTAAAGGAGATATAGACCACTTTAGGGGCGTCCTACATCATGGCATGGTTTCATAAGGTTTATTCCCTCCCCAGCCCAGCACATAGGGAGAAGGTCTAATCAGGGTTAAAGGTTAAAACTCAGAAGAGACCTGTTCTTACTTCAACTAAGTCTGACCTACGTAGTCCTCATTGTGTTCTTGACAAAATTTTGACTCCAGATAACTGGAACACTCTACAAAATTTTGACTCCCAGATAATTGGAACACTCTACAAAATTTTGACTCCCAGATAATTGGAACACTCTACAAAATTCTGGTCCCTTGGTAACTTGAATCTTTACAACTCTGACCCCACGATTAAGTATTATGCTCTGTAATGACAATGCACCAGGTCACACAGATCAGCTTTCTGTTTTCCCCACCCAATATTTTATCCGACCTGGCTTATTAAGAATTCAATGATAGTTTCATAAAGATTATAAAAACCGACCCTGATTTGAGATCCTCTATGTCATGAGTGAAATGAATTGATGTGTACATTTTGAATTTTCCAGAGAGTCCAAGCTCACAAGTACCAGACACGAGAAGTTTTCATAGAGGATGTAGAACTTATCCCCATCAACTGTAGCAAATACAATGGCAAGGATAACCCTCTCACAGAAACAGCCTACAAAATGGTGGATGTCTGTAGGCAGGCCCTCTCACAGGTATAGTAACATAGCAAACACGGAACTCTCACACATATGGCCTTCAGAGGGGTCGAACCCAGAACTACATAGAACTAGTTCAATGTGGTGCCAATTGAGCTAAATGGAAATTCTCTTGAGCCTTACAAATTACAATTCTATGTAATTGCCTTAAGTTCGTAAAATTAGGGACAATTGATGCAGCTCATGGCTGACATCTGTGCTGCCTCCTTGCTAACTCTATGTAATTGCCTTGTAGAATGAAGAACACCTGATCCAGCTGGAGGCTGACATCCGAGCTGCTCAGGAAGCAGCTTTAGAGGCTGTGGAGACTGACAGTATCATGACAGGCACGTCGGCTAATCCTGATGACTACAGTCTGCTGGGTATGTTCTACCCATTATTATTCTCCTTCCTGTCGTCTTATATTTTGTCTGTCTTACAGCTTTCCATCCACTTCCATTTCCCTGCCCTTCTTCTCCTTTCTCTCCATTACACACTTAACACAAAGGCTCAACAGAAGATCCAGGTACCCCCGCTGATGACCAAACCTGTTACGCTTACTTCTCTCCCTCCCTCCAGTTATGGTTTGATCCAGTTGCAGTTTGATAGATGGTTAGATACCAAAATATAACTTGTCGTTCTAGCCTACTGAACCAAATACTCTGATACAATCCCTATGTTGTAGGTATGGACAATGAGAGTATGGATGAGGCAAACAGTCTGGGAACTTCTCGAGAGAACATTACCATCGCAGAGGACAACAGTAGTCCATCAAAACGTTGGGCCGGGGACGACTCTGGAATGTCTGGAGGGGTAAGACTTTTTATCTTTACAAGTACATGATGTATTGTTTTGTTTGTTGTGTACTATATCTGACGTTGCCCGAGTTGACTTATGACACTGTATTATAATGAAAACAGCTTCATGTCCCCATCGCCCTGGTCCTTTATGAAGCTACCACAATGCCATTGTAAGTGTAGCACAATGAATTCTGTGGGATTTTTTTCCAATGATTGTAAATGCATTTACACTATGATATTACAAATGAATAGGTAGTAATTACTGACTAGTGTCGATCAGGACTGATCTTTTTGTTTGATTATAATGTAGCAAATTGGTCATTTCCTACAAGTGAGTGTTATTTGGAAAATGGACAATGTGAAAAATGTCAAATAGGATTAAACTTCTCCTGGGGCAGTAGTCATGGTTGTATGGATGCAGTAATGGTTGTATGGATGCAGTCATGGTTGTATGGATGTAGTCATGGTTGTATGGATGTAGTCATGGTTGTATGGATGCAGTCATGGTTGTATGGATGCAATCTCAATGAAGCTCCAGAATGAACATATACATGTAGCTCTTTCCTACCACCATACTCACAACCAAATAGAGTTTCATCCCTATACATGTAGCTCTTTCCTACCACCATACTCCCAACCCAATAGAGTTTAATCCCTATACATGTAGCTCTTTCCTACCACCATACTCCCAACAAAAAAGAGTTTAATCCCTATACATGTAGCTCTTTCCTACCACCATACTCACAACCAAATAGAGTTTAATCCCTATACATGTAGCTCTTTCCTACCACCATACTCACAACCAAATAGAGTTTAATCCCTATACATGTAGCTCTTTCCTACCACCATACTCACAACCAAATAGAGTTTAATCCCTATACATGTAGCTCTTTCCTACCACCATACTCACAACCAAATAGAGTTTAATCCCTATACATGTAGCTCTTTCCTACCACCATACTCACAACCAAATAGAGTTTAATCCCTATACATGTAGCTCTTTCCTACCACCATACTCACAACCAAATAGAGTTTAATCCCTATACATGTAGCTCTTTCCTACCACCATACTCACAACCAAATAGAGTTTAATCCCTATACATGTAGCTCTTTCCTACCACCATACTCACAACCAAATAGAGTTTAATCCCTATACATGTAGCTCTTTCCTACCACCATACTCACAACCAAATAGAGTTTAATCCCTATACATGTAGCTCTTTCCTACCACCATACTCACAACCAAATAGAGTTTAATCCCTATACATGTAGCTCTTTCCTACCACCATACTCACAACCAAATAGAGTTTAATCCCTATACATGTAGCTCTTTCCTACCACCATACTCACAACCAAATAGAGTTTAATCCCTATACATGTAGCTCTTTCCTACCACCATACTCACAACCAAATAGAGTTTAATCCCTATACATGTAGCTCTTTCCTACCACCATACTCACAACCAAATAGAGTTTAATCCCTATACATGTAGCTCTTTCCTACCACCATACTCACAACCAAATAGAGTTTAATCCCTATACATGTAGCTCTTTCCTACCACCATACTCACAACCAAATAGAGTTTAATCCCTATACATGTAGCTCTTTCCTACCACCATACTCACAACCAAATAGAGTTTAATCCCTATACATGTAGCTCTTTCCTACCACCATACTCACAACCAAATAGAGTTTAATCCCTATACATGTAGCTCTTTCCTACCACCATACTCACAACCAAATAGAGTTTAATCCCTATACATGTAGCTCTTTCCTACCACCATACTCACAACCAAATAGAGTTTAATCCCTATACATGTAGCTCTTTCCTACCACCATACTCACAACCAAATAGAGTTTAATCCCTATACATGTAGCTCTTTCCTACCACCATACTCACAACCAAATAGAGTTTAATCCCTATACATGTAGCTCTTTCCTACCACCATACTCACAACCAAATAGAGTTTAATCCCTATACATGTAGCTCTTTCCTACCACCATACTCACAACCAAATAGAGTTTAATCCCTATACATGTAGCTCTTTCCTACCACCATACTCACAACCAAATAGAGTTTAATCCCTATACATGTAGCTCTTTCCTACCACCATACTCACAACCAAATAGAGTTTAATCCCTATACATGTAGCTCTTTCCTACCACCATACTCACAACCAAATAGAGTTTAATCCCTATACATGTAGCTCTTTCCTACCACCATACTCACAACCAAATAGAGTTTAATCCCTATACATGTAGCTCTTTCCTACCACCATACTCACAACCAAATAGAGTTTAATCCCTATACATGTAGCTCTTTCCTACCACCATACTCACAACCAAATAGAGTTTAATCCCTATACATGTAGCTCTTTCCTACCACCATACTCACAACCAAATAGAGTTTAATCCCTATACATGTAGCTCTTTCCTACCACCATACTCACAACCAAATAGAGTTTAATCCCTATACATGTAGCTCTTTCCTACCACCATACTCACAACCAAATAGAGTTTAATCCCTATACATGTAGCTCTTTCCTACCACCATACTCACAACCAAATAGAGTTTAATCCCTATACATGTAGCTCTTTCCTACCACCATACTCACAACCAAATAGAGTTTAATCCCTATACATGTAGCTCTTTCCTACCACCATACTCACAACCAAATAGAGTTTAATCCCTATACATGTAGCTCTTTCCTACCACCATACTCACAACCAAATAGAGTTTAATCCCTATACATGTAGCTCTTTCCTACCACCATACTCACAACCAAATAGAGTTTAATCCCTATACATGTAGCTCTTTCCTACCACCATACTCACAACCAAATAGAGTTTAATCCCTATACATGTAGCTCTTTCCTACCACCATACTCACAACCAAATAGAGTTTAATCCCTATACATGTAGCTCTTTCCTACCACCATACTCACAACCAAATAGAGTTTAATCCCTATACATGTAGCTCTTTCCTACCACCATACTCACAACCAAATAGAGTTTAATCCCTATACATGTAGCTCTTTCCTACCACCATACTCACAACCAAATAGAGTTTAATCCCTATACATGTAGCTCTTTCCTACCACCATACTCACAACCAAATAGAGTTTAATCCCTATACATGTAGCTCTTTCCTACCACCATACTCACAACCAAATAGAGTTTAATCCCTATACATGTAGCTCTTTCCTACCACCATACTCACAACCAAATAGAGTTTAATCCCTATACATGTAGCTCTTTCCTACCACCATACTCACAACCAAATAGAGTTTAATCCCTATACATGTAGCTCTTTCCTACCACCATACTCACAACCAAATAGAGTTTAATCCCTATACATGTAGCTCTTTCCTACCACCATACTCACAACCAAATAGAGTTTAATCCCTATACATGTAGCTCTTTCCTACCACCATACTCACAACCAAATAGAGTTTAATCCCTATACATGTAGCTCTTTCCTACCACCATACTCACAACCAAATAGAGTTTAATCCCTATACATGTAGCTCTTTCCTACCACCATACTCACAACCAAATAGAGTTTAATCCCTATACATGTAGCTCTTTCCTACCACCATACTCACAACCAAATAGAGTTTAATCCCTATACATGTAGCTCTTTCCTACCACCATACTCACAACCAAATAGAGTTTAATCCCTATACATGTAGCTCTTTCCTACCACCATACTCACAACCAAATAGAGTTTAATCCCTATACATGTAGCTCTTTCCTACCACCATACTCACAACCAAATAGAGTTTAATCCCTATACATGTAGCTCTTTCCTACCACCATACTCACAACCAAATAGAGTTTAATCCCTATACATGTAGCTCTTTCCTACCACCATACTCACAACCAAATAGAGTTTAATCCCTATACATGTAGCTCTTTCCTACCACCATACTCACAACCAAATAGAGTTTAATCCCTATACATGTAGCTCTTTCCTACCACCATACTCACAACCAAATAGAGTTTAATCCCTATACATGTAGCTCTTTCCTACCACCATACTCACAACCAAATAGAGTTTAATCCCTATACATGTAGCTCTTTCCTACCACCATACTCACAACCAAATAGAGTTTAATCCCTATACATGTAGCTCTTTCCTACCACCATACTCACAACCAAATAGAGTTTAATCCCTATACATGTAGCTCTTTCCTACCACCATACTCACAACCAAATAGAGTTTAATCCCTATACATGTAGCTCTTTCCTACCACCATACTCACAACCAAATAGAGTTTAATCCCTATACATGTAGCTCTTTCCTACCACCATACTCACAACCAAATAGAGTTTAATCCCTATACATGTAGCTCTTTCCTACCACCATACTCACAACCAAATAGAGTTTAATCCCTATACATGTAGCTCTTTCCTACCACCATACTCACAACCAAATAGAGTTTAATCCCTATACATGTAGCTCTTTCCTACCACCATACTCACAACCAAATAGAGTTTAATCCCTATACATGTAGCTCTTTCCTACCACCATACTCACAACCAAATAGAGTTTAATCCCTATACCTGTAGACTCCTTTTCTCCACCCTGATAGAATATTGTTAAAGTGACCACATGTAACAGAATATTCCACCACTTTTGGAGCAAGACAGAAAATCTCTTTTTAAATGAAAAGCCCTCTGACAGCAGACCTTTGACTGGTTATTGAAGAATCTTAATCCTAAGGTTGAGATTTCCTTGCCCCTCCCTCACACTGGACTTTGGACTTGTAACTTGTATCTAGTACCAACTGGTTGGCTTGTGGTATACTGTGTTTACCCTCTTTGTTGCAGTTCTTTGTGGTAGTTTCTACTCCTGCTTAACGTTCAGCAATTTAGAAGTGGGACGACTGGTTCGCCTGTTGTCAGTATAATGTGACCGGGTGGGTTGTCCTGCTGGATGTCTTTGGCAGTATGTTTCAGTGAGGTAGCACTATAAAGTTGGCATCAGTCCCGCATTATCACAAGGAGACAAACACACACATATCACAGCCTCCCAAAACACACACGCATACACTACAAGCATGCATCTTGTACACAGGGGAGGCGTCCTTAAATGACCATAGCTGTTGATAGGACGTTAAACAATACCAAACCAAACCAATCTTTGTTGCAGGTTGTGCCAGAGGAGTATGACTCGGAGTTTGTAGACGTGGAAGGAGATGTTGAAGGAGACGATGAGAATGTTGTTGACATGAGCTTCGGTCAGCAGAGCAGTGACCAGACCTCAGACCAGGTACATTTCTCAGTCATTACACTCGATTGGTTCCCCAGACTTAATTGTTTTATTCTGATCAAAATACTTTTAAATAATTAAGTACAATGCAGTGACTGTTACTTAATAAGTGTCTCTGGATATCTCAGAAGTAGTTTTCAGTGTTTGGTTATTCTTATGATTCATTTCTGGTTTATTTGTTGAAAATCTTAATTCATTGTCTTACCTGGCTTTAACGGACACTTTTTTTCCCCAAGGTGATGAACACCACAGGTGAGGTTGACGAGTCCTTGATTCAGGATCTTCAACTTTCACCTGAGAACTCGGATAGTGAGGACCAAGGGATGGGTGAGTGAGAGATGTTTTCATTTTAATAAAGTAATGGTCTATTTTGTTCAGCTAAGTAGACCAATTAAGTTGAGCAATAGTGTCAAGTATAGATTGTGTTTAATAAGAGGTTTTGAAAAGAACTAGAATATTTATTTAACCTTGATCATTCACATAGCACGAAGTGCCTGTATGCATTATTGTCCATCTGTCTGGTGTCAAATTCTCCTTCAAGCAGGCTGAAACAGCTTCATTTTGAGATTGTAGTGTATCGATACTTGGCTGAAGCTAGAGGATTCCCTAGATTGTTCAAATGATCAACTTTCAATGTCACAGGGGTCAAATGTGTTCAAACCTCGAACAACTTCTTCTGAATAAACTGAATGGTATTGACACACTTTAAAGGTCACATGGGTCAAATGTGTCAAAATTTTCAATCAACTTTCCAAATAACAAAGAAGCCAAAGTGTTATATTTTTGACTGTAGCATGCTGGGATGGCGGGCTGTCGGTCGTATATAAATGATGTTTGGGTTTGTTTTGTAGGTAAGCAGAGTGACAGTGAGGAGGAAGGCGATACCAGTATGGACATGCAAGCATATGAGGATGGACGGCAATACTACGATGGTACCGCTCAGTCCTACATGGCCCCACCCCCTCAGGACATTGATGAAAACAGCTTCGACCCCTCTGACTTCTTCATGCACAGTGCTCTGGCCAGTGAGGCCGCGGCTCAACATGTGACGGATAACAAGGATGGTGACGATATTAACATGGATCTGCAGGTCTCCGAGTCCGAGGAGAGCGATGCAGATCAGGAGGGCGCAGAGCAGGGCGAAGACCAGTCCAACGATGGCTTTGATATAGATGAATTCCTGCAGTGATTATGAGTTTGAAACTGACTAGTACCTATGTTCAACAAAGAGTTTGATACAGGCTAGTAGCACATCACAAAAGTTATTGACAAGTTCCTACTGATGGTGCTAGGATTAATTAAATATGAACAAGTGTTTGACCCTTTCAACACTGTTGACCCTAATGGACTTGCCCCAATTAATGCATGGAAGAGTCTAATAAAGTTACATATAGGGGTGAAAGGGTTAACTATCAAACATTCGGATTGATGTTGATAAGTTTTTAATGGGAACATCTGTTAAGCGAAGTGTTTAAGGCAGCATCTTTCAGGAATCGCTTATAAATCTTGACTATTAAACACTGGTGATGTCAGGTGTTTAACAGCTGCCAAGATATCAGTGCTATAGAACATACAGAAGTTTCCGTACATATCATTGTATTAAACAATGAATCAGTGGCCATATATCACTTCTGTATTACATGTATTCAGGTTTCTCTTACATTTTACTACATGAATCAGTTCATCCTTTTATTTGAAGACTGTACAGTCAGATCTGTGTCGAGACCATCCAAAGGAAAGACACCCAAAGATATATAGGTCGCATTCATGTATCCCAGTTGAAACAGTTCAGGCGGCGTAGAAATATTCCACAATAAACGAACACACTCGGAACGAATTGTAAGCAGAGCCAAAATGCAGTTTTCGGAGAAAAAAACAACAATATATCAAGAATAATATGTCCTTCTTTCACGCGTCCACTTACCGGGTAATTATATAATGTATCTTTAAATCTGCATCTGGATTTTTTTTTTTTATAAAGAAATAACGCAAACTAGCAAGAGTCAGCATTTTGGTTTCGGTTAGGCAGGTCTGGACCCCTCGATCTTCACAATATGCGGAATATTCTTGAGGTCAGCCTCGGTTCAGATCTGTGCCTGTCATTTTCTTTCAGGTCCAACCGTTTCAACTGGTTGAATTGGATATGTGAACGGGCCATAGTAAACATGAGAAAATGGTGTTTTTTTTAAGAGAGAAGATAAGTCAATAGGGATGGTCTCTCAAGCAGACTGTATCATCACAATAGTATTTATTTCTCATGTGAATCATGTTTAGTTTACATGATGCATTTTTTTCATATCATAACTGAGAACAAGTGTCATGTTTGTCTAATAGTGTGTACATGCATATATATCATTATGTGTGTGTGTGTAGTTCATGTGTACTGGTGTTTGAGTCAGTGTGCATTACAGGTGTATAGGTGTATGCAGTACATGTTTGGGTGTAATGTGTACCTGTGTTTGTGGACATGTATGTGTACATATACCTATGTATGAGTGTCGAAGATGTGTACCTGTGTTTATGGACATGTATGTGATGTGTACGAGCATGTGTCGGAAATGTGTACCTGTGTTTGTGTACATGTGTGTTGGAGATGTGTACCTGTGTTTGTGTACATGTGTGTTGGAGATGTGTATGATTGTGTTTATGCAGTGTTATCCCCACATTGATAGTGGGATGATTGTGAAACTTTGGCCGGCACAAATGAAAGTAAGATGTTTGAATGAGATGCCTAGAACCTTGAAGACTGGAAGGAAATGTGTTATCATGCTTAATAGAAATAAAACTTAATTAAATATTTAATCTGTTGAAGTTTTTCTTTTTCTCTGTGTACAACTAAATATACTTGTAGATCAAGCTGGCCTGTATCATTATCAGTATAGAACTGTCACCATGTTTTTATTGTCACGAGCTGTAGCAAGTGCAGGTCCAGATTAAAGATTGATACCTCCTCATAAACTCAAAATATGTACATGTATGTCAGAACTGAAATTTGGAATCAATCATTCGGATGCAATTGTATCTACTTTGAATTTCTAGGAAAATCGGTAGTTAGATTTTGTATATATACATGTACATTCCATATAAAACCATGAAGATGGATGTCATAGACACAATAAAATCAACTAGGTCAAAGCCTTGATAACTACATATGGTTATGAACTGGAGATGCCCTATTTTTTGTGAAGGTTTTTGCAAGCTCAGGAAAGAGGACCAACATGAATTATTTCAACAAAGATTTTATTTGGTTTTCACCATATATTCAAGTTCTTACACATAACAAAATGATATAGTTACAATTTAAATTAGCTAAAGCTTCACACATATGTTCTGCATGAATACATTTATGCTGTTTACAGGTGGCAAAAGAATAAGTCCAAACATTGTCCTCACATTGTAGAAATTGTGTGTTCATGCAATGTAATTCATTGGAATTTCTGTTTTTTTTTTTTTTGATTCTGGGAGATAATAGTAAAACTTAGTCAGATATTTCATTCACAATCTCAAAACCCAACTAAGTGGGTTCGACTTTAGGAACGTTTTTCATGTATTCATATGGCACAATATTTGGAAATATGAATATCATAATGAACTTTCAAATGTGAAATATACTTGTTATCAGAAACAGAACTTGTTCCTTCAAACTTTTTTTGTAGAGTGTATGGGACTGTTCAGTTCTTGACACCTTGTTGAAGTCTGGTGAACTTAAGAAAAAAAAAAAGTTTTTTTGTCTTTGTCATGCTAATAAAATGGAATGTGATTTGCTATAAACATGTTGGAAAATGAAAACATCCAATAAACAATATACAAAATATATTTTTGGAATTAAGTAAAACAATATAACCTTACAAAAATATAAAATCAAATTTTAAATGATATCTGTAAGAGTGACAAACTTTGGCTATACAGGCTCCTAACGTCACACTACCACAATTGGTACAGTTTTGAGTTTTTCAGTGATGTTTAAAAATTCAGATCATGTACCTGGAATGTTTCTTGATTCTTGACAAAGACTACCCATGATGGTTCATTTTCAGAAAAGGTTTTGATTCTAAGTGATTTTTTTCTGAAAATAGATTGCTAAACTATCACAGCGAGATTTCGTCCGTTTTTCGGCCATGATTAGTACCCAAATTGGTACACCATATCACAGGCTATGAAACTTTTTTTCATTTCTATTAGTTGATGTGCCGATTGCAATTTTTTTTATTGCTTTTATAAATACCATACTGAACTACAATTGCATATATACACTTTCATATTTATCTGGTTATGAAAACCCAGAAATCAACATTTAAACATGCTGATAATAAACCCCCTCAAAATCCTCCAAAACTTCGTTGACATACGTCGTTTGTAGTGGTTTTCTGCTATATTCACTTTGAAATCAACGTGTACTCTTAAATTGTTCATGAAAACAAAACTATTCGGTGGAAATGCTGATAAATATCTCTTTTGTTATACTGGCCGAGATTCAATTTTAAAGTACTATTCAAACCATTTTCTGACCGTGTACCAATTTGGGTAGTGTACTAATTGTGGTAGCGTGACGTTACATTAGAATGACGCAACTCCCAGACATGGCAGGTAACACTATTGATCTGTGCTCGCTGAAATCATCAGCTAATGAGGTAGGCATAGCATTAAGTAACCTACACAAAAAATACACTCATTCTACATGTACCGGTACTTGGATTATAAGAATCATGTTCAGGACTACTGTATATACATGCACTATCAATAAATTTCAAATGTTCTCTTGATTTCACATTGAATGACTTGTTTGGCAGGATTTGAATAGGCGAATGTGATGAAAAAATGTATGTGGGAATTAATCTATTAGGAATGTTTGCCTTTCGTTTTGAACAAACAAAAAAATATGCACCCTGTGAAATAAAAGACGTTGGTTACTGTGTACTGTCCAACTATTTTTCTATGAAATTCCTGTGAATTTATATATTTCCTATTTATGTCCCCAGGCACAGAATTATCTCATGAATGTTAAACCCTATAAAGAATAATGCCTGTAAAGTACTAGTTAGAGTTAATTACTAGTAAGTCTCCTGGGTTTTAGAACTAACGTCTTGGGTTCATTATTGACATATAAGTAACTCATTCCTTACGCCTGTTCTGTTCATCCATGATAATAACCCCCTACCCAATTAAAAGAAACAACATCTATATGCCGGTAGCATATTCTGAGACAATGGGGCAGTCATTCATTACATACCGGGTATACATCAATATATCCATACATCAAAAACATACTCCTTCTTTCTACTTTAGCATGTATAACAGACTGTTATACATGCTAAATTAGAAAGAAGGAGTATGTTTTTGATGTATTGATATTATATTGATTTATAGGGGGTATTATCCTTCGCCTCGGGAAATAGCCCTGGTCGCGGGGAACCAGAAACTTGCTATATCCCTCATAACCTTACTTTACCTGTATACAACCTTTCTATTTATTATTCAAACTACCTTTCACCCATAAAAGTCTCTATCAATATTCGTGTACACTTCATCTTTAACGTCTATTTGGACCCAATAATTATAAGGAAATGAAATAAACAGACAATTTTGAACTGCCATATTACATGACATAATCAAATTTAAGTTTCCTGGAGTTCATAATAATGTTTCACTGTTGTTGTTGTTTTCATAGGAGATTCATTTCCAAATCACTAGACTAATGCAAGAACAAAGGCATATGCATGTTGCCATGCATCAGATATTCCCCATAGCTACAAATTTATCTATGCAGTGTAACCTAACAAGCCAGAACAAAAACTATCTGTAAGTATTCTTGTTAGGATTATATTATAATGATAAACAAACAAAAACTATCTGTTGGACAATCAAGAGTTTAAATTTCTTATTAGGATAATATTATAATGAGATAAATTGTAACTTATTAGGATTATATTATAATGAGATAAATTGTAACTTATTAGGATAATATTATAATGAGATAAATTGTATGTTATTATCGTGGATGAACGGTTTGAGATTCTTCACACAGAAATGGACGGAATGAAATAAAAAAGGATTTGCTCCCAATAATTCGGTGACCTTGATTATTAGTATAAGTAGATACAAAGTATTCATGAAGGAATGTCCATAACCTAGAAATGGACGGTATGAATTCAGGCTTGATTCGTTCCCGATCAAGGAGATATGTTATCTCATACTGTAACAAGGCACCTCCTGTCTGAAAGGGCTCCACTTTAACAAATCTGTATGAAACCAATTTGGAACTTTATTTAGTAAATTAAATACATGTAGTTAAAAAAAATGCTAAAAAGACTGCATGGACTGTATGATATATAATACCAGGTAATTCTGTATTTATATCAGATAAGATTTTTTTAAAGGGAGATAACTCCTATTCAAATAAAAGGAACCAGAATAATATATAGGTGTAATACATCCTTAAGCACCATTAACTTTGACAATAACAAACACATTAAAGAATGATTTACAATAACAATATACAGTGGATATAGTACAGAAGTAACAGGTAATTGGCTATAACAGATCTCTGGGTGTTTCTAAGCTCTTATTATCAATTGGAGAATGCATGTTGCCAGTCATTTGTTACTACTTTGAGTTCCTTTCGAAGTTGTCAATGCTTTTGTTTTTAGAAGTAACTATTACAATTGACAAGCATAAAATTTGCCAATCTTTCAAATTATGTGGAAGATTATTAAAATAGTCGAAGTATTGACAATGACCCCCATTTGACAAAACACCCCACATTATTTAGCTGATATATGCAATGAACCAACTGAACGTGAACCAGGAGCAAGATGCTGAGAGTACCACTTTTTAAATGGTAAAAACGAGGTTGGGATATCAGATTCATGGTAATATAGATTCTACAGGAGACCAGCTTTGTCATGAATTCTCTGGAACCTTTTAATCTAGCACAATCAAAAGGTTTTTTATTACTGTGGGTAAGAGCAATGTTTTAAATTAACCCATATATGTGTTAGTACAAGTATGCATTAGCGTGTTAGTATTTCATAATATTACAAAGTTTGATAGTACAATGTATATTAAATGGAGCAAACCTGATTATGTATCCATAATTTACATATTTTACAGAGGCCATAAGACTGTAACTAAATTTAAAAATATCAATTGAAAGCTCTGCGGAAAACAAGGTAAAAAAATAATTAACATAATCAATATATACCCTGTAATTAGGACCATTATTCAATATTATGCACAACAAATAGCTACAACAATTCTAACATCTTTGAAATCCAAGGATACACCGACTCGATGTGATATCTTTTCTACGCCCTTGGAATATGTCATGACGAATCTGAAGGCTCTGCACCTTAAGGTGAAGCATGGAGGTAAAATGGGCAAGTTTTGAAGTTGGGTGTAGCTCTCAGCTGTGATCTTCAAGGAACAGGCATCAGCCAAGCAATTGGTCAGATAATATTTTTATACCTAAAATAAATGAAATAGCCAGCTGCAAGCCTTGATTTTGTCCATGGCAGACATATTTCAAGAGTGCAGAGAAGATGTGTGTATTAATAGTGGAACCTTTGGACTTCACAGATGCAATTTCTAAGTGCTACAAACTCTAATGTCACTGGGTGTAAAGTGTTACACATCCTATGGGTGTAAAGTGTACACCATAACAAGTATCAATGCAAAATCATTGTGTTTAAAGTCATCCTTTAACCCTTTCAACACTGTAGACCAGAATGGACTCATCCGGATCAATGCATGGTAGAGTCTATTAAAGTTGCATAGGGGTGAAAGGGTTAAGTTTTCAGGGAATATACTCACCCCTGGAATTTGTCACGACAAAATCAAAGGCATGTGGTTAACTGTTTAATTGGTTTCAAATTAAGTTAAAAACAATGTACATCAAAGGGATCAAACTAGACCTATTGTAACATCCACAAGGTGGCACAAACAGAGCCTCTGATTTCATCATGACATAAACCAGGGGTGCAGACGAAAGTAAGTGAGTATAACCAATGGAATTTTGAGGATCATCATGTGTATTAAAGTGTACACAACAACAAATATCAAAGCACATTTTAGAAGTACCATGCATGATCACAGGGTGTAAAGTGTAAACCGTAACGGTAAATAATTATTATATCAATGCAAGATCACTGGGTATACAGTGTACATAATGATATGTATCAAGTGTGAGCACTGGGTGTAAAGTGTACACCATACTAATTATCAATGCATGATCACAGGGTGTAAAGTGAATGCCATAATACATTTCAAAGCACAATCACTGGGTGTAAAGTGTAAACGGTAATTATCAATGCGAGATCAATGGTTTTCTCTGGGTGAATTCATTTTTCTTTTAAAGTTAACTTAGAATAGATAATAACAGCAACAAGAAAGTGGTTCGATTCCACATGGCCAAGTCTACTTCATCTGTACATGCTTTGTGATCACAGACAGGCTCAGTACATCAGGTCAGAAGGGGTTTATCCTGAGAGCTGATCCAAGTGGTGTAAACGGGTTGACCTTGACCCACATCAGTGCCTCATTAGGGGACACTGCTGATCTTCCATCTTCCAAGAAGAAAGCCAGACCCTGAAACATAAAATGACCAGTTTTGTAATTATCTAATACAATATTTAATAGGATTATGTCGATTTGTACTGATTCCCCACTTGTATAATCTGTGTCATAGAGATTTTACTGCCCCCTCAATGTAAGCAAGATACACATCCCTTGTAAGATTAATAAAATCTTTCACCCTATAAGAGATGAGATTGGCAATCTCGAATCTTGTCTACTTGGCCTTCACTACATACCAAAGTTCGTTGTCCTGAGATACAGGAGACGTGTATGTCAGAGTGGGTGGGTAGATTAGAGCTAGCCATACAGTCGGGACCCAGACGACGAAGTTCCTCGTCTACTCCTGCTCGATCCGTTAATCGCTGATAAACATCCATCATCTCCGGGGACACAGCTGTTGCCTGCAGGTCAAGGCCACCTCTAAAAGAGGAAATAAGTGTAGAAAGAACAATGCTGCAATATGGAGAATATGTCAGTTAAGTCTCTCCAATGTCATTTTAAAAGATCATCTTAAATTACTCATTATCAAGAATCTCATATTGTACTGTCTTCGAAATGTTTAACATAGTTACCAGCTGTCTACATAGTTACCAGCTGTCTACATAGTTACCAGCTGTCTACAAAGTCTTCTTCGGTTAACATAGGTAACTATTGCCTACATAGTTACCAGCTGTCTACATAGTTACCTGCTGTCTACATAGTTACCTGCTGTCTACATAGTTACCAGCTGTCTACATAGTTACCTGCTGTCTACATAGTTACCTGCTGTCTACATAGTCTTCTTCTGTTAACATAGGTAACTGTTGCCTACATAGTTACCTGCTATCTACATTGTTTCCTGCTGTCTACATAGTTACCAGCTGTCAACATAGTTACCATCTGTCTATAAAGGTACCAACAAAGTTACCAGCTGACTACATAGTTACCTGCTATCTACATTGTTACCTGCTGTCTACATAGTTACCAGCTGTCTACATAGTTACCATCTGTCTATATAGTTACCAACAAAGTTACCAGCTGTCTCTGTATTTACCTGCTGTCTGATTCTGTATTTAACTGATGTCTATGTATTTACCTGCTGTCTGTCTCTGTATTTACCTGATGTCTCTGTTTTTACCTGCTGTCTGTCTGTATTTATCGTCTGTCTCTGTATTTACCTGCTGTCTGTATTTACCTGCTGTCTCTGTATTTACCTGCTGTCTGTCTCTGTATTTACCTGCTGTCTGTCTCTGTATTTACCTGCTGTCTGTCTCTGTATTTACCTGTTGTCTCTGTATTTCTCCACACTTCTCCAGGCTGTTAGCTCATCGTTTATACTGGTGTCATTAATGGACAGGTTAAGCTCAGTCTTTTGTAGTAGATCTCTTGCATGTGCCAACAGGAAAGCAACAATAGAGTTGTAGCCTCTTTTAATGGCCATCAGGGCTCCTGTATAGGCTGACAGACACAACAGCTCAAATCTAAGTCTGCAACATAGAAATGCCTCAAAGTCAATGTGTGACACACCTGGGAAAAACAGTTCAAAGTCAGACTGTAACATAGCACAACCACACAGTCAGACTGTAACAGCACAACCACAAAGTCAGACTGTAACATAGCACAACCACACAGTCAGACTGTAACATAGCACAACCACAAAGTCAGACTGTAACATAGCACAACCACACAGTCAGACTGTAACATAGCACAACCACACAGTCAGACTGTAACAGCACAACCACACAGTCAGACTGTAACAGCACAACCACAAAGTCAGACTGTAACTTAGCACAACCACACAGTCAGACTGTAACATAGCACAATCACACAGTCAGACTGTAACATAGCACAACCACACAGTCAGACTGTAACAGCACAACCACACAGTCAGACTGTAACATAGCACAACCACACAGTCAGACTGTAACATAGCACAACCACACAGTCAGACTGTAACATAGCACAACCACACAGTCAGACTGTAACAGCACAACCACACAGTCAGACTGTAACATAGCACAATCACACAGTCAGACTGTAACATAGCACAACCACACAGTCAGACTGTAACATAGCACAACCACACAGTCAGACTGTAACAGCACAACCACACAGTCAGACTGTAACATAGCACAACCACACAGTCAGACTGTAACATAGCACAATCACACAGTCAGACTGTAACATAGCACAACCACACAGTCAGACTGTAACAGCACAACAACACAGTCAGACTGTAACATAGCACAGCCACACAGTCAGTCCTATGCAATCTTCGAAACTCAAATCTACCAAATATTTAGCTTATAATTATTTAAAATGCCTTTTTCAAAGCTCTCCAGAAAGCAGGTCTGTCCCTATTGCATAAACAACCAACTCTGTACAACTGCTTGTTTCAAACCTTAACAAAAGTGGTCCTCTACTCACGTTTCCAGCTTGTGTTGCTGGAGCTTGTCTGAGCGGATACAGCCCAACAGCTGTAACATTGGGAACACTGCATCCACTGTCCACCGCGACTTTGACATCACTCCTGTACAGGGCATATAGATGTATAGTAAACATTAAACAATGTATAGTTAACACTGAACTTTCCTTCAGGAGTTTATGATGTATTTTAACACATTATGCATTCTTATGTTTGATGACTTTGCTAGTATTATACATACTGTATAGATTGTGTAATGTCACAGAGTTTAACTATTGAGGTTTTGTTTCTAGATCCAACTGATTGGCTAAGATTTCCTAAAAAAAACACCCTTAATAGTCAATAGCGTAACTCTTTTCAGCAGAAAAATCATTATCAGGAATTATATTTCCCATATCTTTTTTCTTGCAGTTACCAGGTAGCAGAAAGCAATAATAAAACATAAATGAAATAAAGGCACTATGCAGCAAATAATTGAACACTTTACAGTAATATTTGATATACAGAAAATATAAAAATTATGCAGTAAATATAAGTGCTATACAGAATGTATAATTAATGCATAAACACTATACAGTAAATATAGGTGCTATACAGTAAATATAAATGTATGAACACTATACAGTAAATATAAAGCTATACAGTAAATATAAGTGCTATACATTAAATATAAATGTATAAACACTATACAGTAAATATAAGTGCTATACAGTAAATATATATGTATAAACACGATACAGTAAATATAAGTGTTATACAGTAAATATAAATGTATAAACACTATACAGTAAATATAAGTGTTATACAGTTAATATAAATGTATAAACACTACAGTAAATATAAATGTATAAACACTATACAGTAAATATAAATGTATAAACACTATACAGTAAATATAAGTATAATCCAGTAAATATAAATGTATAAACACTTTATAGTTAATATAGGTGCTATACAGTAAATATATAAGCACTATATAGTAAATATATAAACACTATATAGTAAGCATAGGTGCTATACAGTAAATATATAAACACTATATAGTAAATATACATATATAAACACTACACAATAAATATAGAAAATATAAACACTATATAGTAAATATATAAGCACTATTTAGTAAATTTATAAGCACTATATAGTAAATATATAAGCACTATATAATAAATATAAGTGCTATACTCTTCATCCTCTCCAGATGATACATAAGTCATGTCATATCGTTCACTGATATGTGCTATAAAGGTTAGAAATGTATTGACATTGTAGTTCAGGTCACTTCTTTTATGCTTTACATACTAGGTAGGAATTGTCAGAGATACATATGCAAGACCACACACTTGTTTTTTTCTAACGAATCAGAAAGCACAAGTTTATTGGGCGGACGAATAAATACGTCCCCACAATAAATGAGTGCTTTCTGATTCGTTAGAAAAACACAAGTGTGTGGTCTTGCTTTTATCACATACCTTCCGTATTTGGTAGAGATCGATACAAAGAGTTTATAAACTTTGATATTTTTTGCAATTACCGGGAACTTTTCAGTTCGCCATGACAAGGGGATTCCCATAAAAAGTAGTTCCGGCTAGTAGGTAAATACAACATTCCGTATTGCACATGTGCAATACAGAACGTTGTATTTCATGGTCTGAAAATTGCTTGTATTACTATAACAGGATTCAACAGGTCTGTGATAAATGATAGTTCATGGGAACAATCAGTCAGGTGAAAACATATGTTGTAAAGCTTCTACTATCAGTAACAGTTACAAAAGGGTTAAGGAATAAGGAAAATATATGAAACGGGAATGAAAATTACAGTTAAGATCGACGGTTTAAGTAAAGTAACACAGACATACTTGATAAGCATTCATTACTCCCTGCTCATCCTAGTTACATGGACAGACTTCAGTTTATATTTAAGTATTCTGCATGTTCCATAAACTCAAATTGGGGGTAGCAGAGGTTGGTGTAATAGAGGCTGTGATACTGACCTTTGACCTCCTGTAGCCCGACTTCCAACCCGACCTCTGGTGTAGTAGACAGTAGGTAGTACTTGACACATTGGAATGGTTCACACTTGAGCTTCAGTGTCTCTGCCTGGTGTGTACACTCATCAAGGGATGGTAGGCCTGCCTACATGACACATAAATATCCAAGCTACAATCAAACCCTGTCCTTATTTAAAGAAGTAGTTTGGGTTTATTTTCCATGATATGAAATCCTACCGATGGTGTTAACCTTTTCTGTTCATTCAGTCCTCATCCTCATAATCCTTCTCAGCCCTCATTCTCTTCAGCTATCACCCAATCCTGCCCTAATCCTTCCTCTCCTCATCCTCCCCTACGATCATCCTCTCATAACATTATCTTCCCCATCCCCAATACTCCCTTACCATCATATTCCCCAGCCTCTATCTTCCTCAGTCTCTACCTGCATTGCTCTTTAACTTTCTTGTCCCAATCCTCATTATCCCCAACCATCCTCCTCCTCTACATTTATCCTCCCAAGTCCTTATCTTTTCCTACCTTCATGCTCTCCAGCCCTTATTCTTCCCTCTTCCTTTCCTACCCTTCACTACCCTCATCCTGCCTTACACTCATCCTCTCCTATCTCATTCTCTCTAGCCCCCCTTCTCATCTATTCTCATCATCCCCAGCACTCATCCTACCTACATCATCATTCACAGACCTCATCCTTCCAAATTCTTACCCTCACCAGACCTCATCCTGCCCTGCCCTCATCTTCCCTTATATTTACCTTCATTTCCTTTCGTCCTCCCTTTCTTCTTCCTTCTCAGACCTCAGCCTTCCCTACCACCTTCATTCACAGCCTTCATTCTCCCCAGCTTGATCCTCCAATACCCTTATCCTCTCCAGCAGAGTAGGTCTAATTGATCTAGTTACATTTTCCTCAACTCTTTCCTCCCCATCCCAGCTAATGATGAGTATCTGGTCCTGGAAGAGGTCTGATTTATTATCCCCTTTCTCTTCCCTTTGTATGTGTTACCCTGGTGTAGAGCAGATTTATCTGCTAGGGCTCAGTACCCCTCCCTACCCAAATAATAATGATAATTACCCTGGTGTAGAGCAGATTTATCTGCTAGGGCTCAGTACCCTCTCCCTACCCAAATAATAATGATAATTACCCTGGTTTAGAGCAGATTTATCTGCTAGGGCTCAGTACCCCCTCCCTACCCAAATAATAATGATAATTACCCTGGTGTAGAGCAGATTTATCTGCTAGGGCTCAGTACCCTCTCCCTACCCAAATAATAATGATTATTACCCTGGTGTAGAGCAGATTTATCTGCTAGGGCTCAGTACCCCCTCCCTACCCAAATAACAATGATAATTACCCTGGTGTGAAGCAGATTGATCTCGTCCATACTAGCAGCACATCTTGCACAGCATTTGGCAAGAAGTAGATCAGGGTCGGGAAGAAGCTTGAGCATATCAACAGCTAAATCCCTGTCAATAAACAGCATGTCAGTTATTTCTGCATACCATTTACATAAATGTTCACATCATCGTGACAACCTACACTTTACATAAATGTTCACATCATCATGACAACCTACACTTTACACAAATGTTCACATCATCGTGACAACCTGCACTTTACATAAATGTTCACATTGTTGTGACAACCTACCATTTACACAAATGTTCACATTATCTTGACAACCTACCATTTACATAAATGTTCACATCATTGTGACAACCTACCATTTACACAAATGTTCACATCATCGTGACAACCAACCCTTATACACAAATGTTCACATCGTCGTGACAACCTACCATTTACACAAATGTTCACATCGTCATGACAACCTACCCTTTACACAAATGTTCACATCGTCATGACAATCTACCATTTACACAAATGTTCACATCCTCGTGACAACCTACCATTTACACAAATGTTCACATCGTCATGACAACCTACCATTTACACAAATGTTCACATCGTCGTGACAGGTACTCTATCGCTAGGTTTGTCTGTTTTGGTGTGTTTCCCAGGATAGTTCCAACGGAAACTGCAAGCTCCAGCTCGTGACCTTGGATTAACCTCCAAACAGCACTCTGAATAGGTCACATAAAAAGTAACATAGAAGAAGCTTATTATAAGAAGTTGCTTGGCATCAATAAAACTGCATAAGCAATGCTAGTTAACAAGAATGACATCAAATTCTTTAAAGACCAATCATCAACCATTCACAAAACTTAACCAACAGGGAACTCACAATGTAAACATTTAAAATGTGTAAACCATGAATAATAAATTGAAAAAGGTAAAGTATTGCAAGGCAATGCATAGTCCCCCACCGGTTATGATTTCTATATTTAACAAACAGTACACTAAGATGTACCTACTGTTATGGAAACTATCCTGATATATATTTCTTGCACTCTGCTATCCAAAGATGTCCTTGTATACCAAATCTAGTTATTCCAGGTGAAAAAGTATAGAAGATATGCCCCGGACAAACTTTTTTTCAAAAGTAAAGGTCAAAGGTCAAGTCATAGGTCACAGTGACCTTCTTCTTGCACTTCGCTATCCCAAGATGTCCTTACACACCAAATCTGATTGCTCCAGGTGAAATAGTATAGAAGATATGTCCCGGACAAACTTCTCAGATGGAAGGACAGAAAAACCCTTGGACACAATGACAGACAGACAGACAAACAGTGTGCAAATCTATCCCCCCCCCCCCCCCCCCCCCCCCCCCCCCCCGGGAAACCGGTGGGGGACTAATAAATAAAATATACTGCACAAATATTTTAAGAAACAAGCTTGCATCTAGATCTATGAGTAATCCAACTAGTGTTTGAGAACTGTATTCTGCATCTAGGAAAACTGTAGTATGTATCTAGAAGAACTGTAACTCACCTCACAATCATTTATGGCTAGATGACAGCAGGCTGCAAGCACTGTGAATCCGTTGTTAAAATACCATTTTGATAAATGTTGTACACTCTGTTTCAATAAACTGAAATAAAACAAAATACAGTAAGTTAATGTTCACTCATGTATACTATCTCCCGCATCCCTTATTATGGCTTTCAACTTTTGTTTGCAGGGTATTCCACAACATTGTCCAAGTATCTAACTACAGACTGTGCTTGGCCCTGGGGTTGGGTGGGTGGTGAGGGGGAGGGGGTGTTGCTGGAGGGGTGTCTATGAAGGAAGAGAGAGATAAATATATATATAGTACTGGGCTCTGTGTTACAATAAGCCTGGCCTGTTGGGGATTGGGATCACTCTGGTAGGAGTATGTGTAGGGTATGTGACTTACTCAACATCTGTAGTACTGGGCTCTGTGGTACCGTTACACTTAGCCCGGCCTGTGGGGGGCGGGTGTGGCTGTAGACCCTCACAGGCCACTTGGGAGGCGAGCATGGCTTCTGTGGCCTGGCCCTGAGATGTGAAGTAGTTGACGAGTGTCTCCATGTCTCCCGTAGCCATACTGTAGACGATCACATCCTCCTTGTCATCCCTCAGTAGGTAGGCAGTATGTCTAATAACACATCAGTGAATTTACAATACTACCAGAGTATTATGTTTACAGATAGGTGTCTAAAACAATAGATTTTTATCTTCATCTTGATTCATAGTAAACATTGCAAGTTACAAATTCATCTACTAAAATTGCAGATAACCTAATTAAAATTTGATCTTCATTTGCTCTCTAAACTGATATTTTCTAAACAGAGGCTACAGTTCTTTATGCAGCACATTAATATCTGGAACAAATGAAGGTCAAATTATATTGAATAAAGCCTGTATGACTTACCGTTTGGCTAGAGAGTGCCAGTATTCCATAGAAACACCAGGTGCTACCGACAGAGCTTTCTCCCACTGCAACAAGACATACATGTCATATACTTTATTCACAATTACTAGACATCACTTAATAAGGCATATCATTTAGATTGAAACACAATGACATGTACATCCGATAGACATCAGCAGGAATGGAAACTGAACTTTCTAAAATTATAAAAAGACCACTCCAAAATGTATGTCTAACCAAGATTGGAAGCCAGACTATCCAAAGTCTAGGTCTAACTAGGCCCTCCAAAACCTAGACACACACAGCAACATCTACTCTTAAACCACTTTTATCATTTGAATATATCAGTTACCTCCCCTAGTTCTGCCATGAGTTCACAGTATCGTTGTATATTGCCGACTTGTATATGGAGCTGAGCTGCTCTGCGGATTTTCTCCTCCTTTACAGATGAACCCAGGGCCCCAGCCTTGGACATCTTCACCATTTCCAGTTCCTGGGCTTCTGACTGTGAAATATTTAAAATGATTCATGTAAATGTATGTAATTAGACTTCATTTATAAAGGATGATGGGTAGAAAGTTTATCATACACTATTTTCATATATCAATATAACAGGGTGCTGTATACAAGCTACACCCTTCATTTACCAGGTTCTCGGGATACCAAAAAGCACTAATACGTAAATTTTAAAGATGTCTAACTCAAAGTATATAAAGACAATTTGTTTGTTAGCTGGCTAAGAACTTAAAAATTTAATGGTTACCCAGTAAACTTGTACCAGACCAAATAGCATAACTTACTAGCAACACTAGCCCTACGTATATCCCAGATAGCTACTGATCAAATATCATGACTATAGATCTTATGGATAATGAGAAAAGTCATTAAAGATTTAATATATTTGAACCCTGTGACTGAATGAAGGTCAAGGTCATTTATTCAGACATCTTGACCCTAGGCCTTTTGGTCCCTGAGAAGAAACGGAAAAGTCAACTGTTAATGGACAATGGATAATGGAAAGCAATTCGTTTCTAGAGCTTATGGATTTGTGTTATAGCCTCACTTTGTTGTCAGTGATTAAACAGAAACTCAATCACCATTTTGTAAGTGATTTTATAGAAATCGTCTCACCATTTTGAACTTGAGGAGATGTTTACAGTGCATGATGCCTTTACTGTAATGTTGAGAGAGAAAGGTATCATCCATGCCTTTCACTACAGACACCAGCTCCCAAAGGTTTTTGGTGCCACAGGGTTGCTGCACAAAACAAGACAGATTTAACTTCACTCTCCAATACTGAATTATTCTACATGTAAGACTATCCAAGCCCAGGACATGTTTATCATGGGTGTAAAGAGGCCATTCTTACAGTGCACTAAACAGAGCAAAAACTGGAAAAAAAAGAATAATTCTTTTATGAGCTTAATGGGGTACACACAGGTGTCATGGAGGAATATCAGAAGCTTCGTCAGGAAGCAATAGTTTGAAATCAAACATAACTTCTTTTACAATAATTGTGAAATAAGTTGTATCAACTGCCCAGATGGCAGCGTGCAGGGCGTCTTAATAGTGGATCTGTCTGGTGGTATGCATAACTTGTCAACTGTTTCAAAATTTCCATGGGGGAGATATTACCTGTGCTCAGAATTAAAAACATAAAAAAGGTGTGTACATACCCCCAGGGAAAAAAATACCACTTTTAAATTGCATCTTTTAAGCTCTTCTCTCAGATGAAATCATCATATATTAGTAAACAAGAATAGTTTAGAAAATTCACTGGTTGAAAAAGCTAAATTTTAGGATCCTGAATTGGGAGTCTCCCTCCAAAATAGGGAGGGCTGGCAGGTATGGGTATGTAATAATGATGCAAAATGTAAACAATTGCATGAAATTATTTTGAAAAAAACATTGAATTCACAATTTCACACCTTCAGACCATCAAAATCTTCATTCTTTCAATTTTGAGGAGTTTCAAGATTTTCATTCCAATTAATTAACATGTGTGAGTCGGGATTAAATAGCTATATATAGTATGGATTAAATATTGAGTAAGACTGTAAGATTTAAAGGCGTTATGCAACTAATTAATTTAATACAACTTACAAACATTTTATGCTATATATCGAATCATGAAAATGAAATAAAGACTCACACTAAAGAACTTTGAAAAGAGCTGAAGTTTTTTGTCAGCCACATTTCCCTTAACATTGGGTTGTTCCAGCTCAAGTTTGATACCCTTAGACACGCGTCCTGCCAATAATGGCGGGTTACTCACATCCATGGCGGCTTCTGAGAAGGCAAAAAAGAATTACAGACAGGAAATGATTGAGTTGCAATTTTTACAGCATTTTCAAAATTAGGGAAACTGTGAATTTTCCAGTAACAAGACATGAACAAAGTTTTTGTTTGTTAAACAAAATGTTTATACATAATAAATTCGTTTATATTTTGGGAGACAATTTTTTCTCAATTTATTTCAAGTAAATTCACTGGCAAACTCAAATATCTTGACATTCAGGGGATATACCCAACAGTTATGATGCTTTTGCTAAAATAAAAATCTTAGTAAATTGCACAAAGACAACTCCGCCAAAAGGGTATGCACAGGACTATTTATGCTAATTAATTAACCAATAATTTCAAAGTCATGGATGTTTCCAGCATACAAACTTTGTAAAAAAAATCAAAAAATCACTTGATTTAATAATACAAAATATAGAAACTTTACAATTAGGTTCCAAAGAAATAATTTTCAAATGTGTGTACTTACCCACTGTACCAATAATATCTGACCAGGGCTTTTCAGCAATGATGTTCATTTCTATGGGTTGTACTAATGAATTAAGTGACCACAGTCGTAGTGTGGAATCCCTCGAAGTGGACGCTAATAGGAACGGCCTCTCAGGATGACATGCTAACCCTTGAAAGTACCGAAAATACAATATTTCGAGTTTGATTTCAAGCAAAAATGAATGAAAGTTGAAATCTACATATGAATTTTGAGAAAGATCTTTCAAGTTATCCGTGAGAAAGTGAAACAAGAAACTTCCTCAAAATGAAACATGCACAATTATGGAACAGGGGAAACCTACACAAGAAGTTTTAGATAGATCTTTGCAGTATTTCTTGTGTAATAGTGACTTAAGTTATACAGAAAGGTAATTCATTTGTACAAACTTGTTTGCCCCAATTCACTGCAGCATACGATAGAGAGGAGATATCCTGACTTCAGGTCTCATAGCTTTTAATTGTTTGCTTGAACTCTAGTCAAGAGTTATTATTTAAACATTATAAATATCCTTCCCCCAGCAAACTATTGGACAAATATCATATACTTTATAGTTCATTAGAAGAAGGCATTTGAAGAGTTCAATTATAAGCTACTGTGACTTTGCAAAGTGGGTAAAGGTAATTTATGTAAACAAACTTCAGTCAAGTGAGCTGCAGGCCACAAATCATGACTGTATGTATAATGGTTTGTTATAAGAAGTTGTTTTAAGATTTCAACACATTGTTACCCAGTGACCTTACATGTGGGTCAAGTTAATTTAGTTTAACAAACATTTGATTCCTTTTATCCAGGCATGCTACAGGCTAAATATCATGTCTCTAGGCCTTATCAAAAACACAACTTTCATTATACTGTAACAACTTCAGTGGTTCAACATTAATTTTTACCCATGCAGGTAAACATTGATACATAAGCTTTGCCTTTAAACTGTGACCTTTGAATTAGGTTAAGCTTCTAAAATGATATGTAGCACACTGCATCGAGATGGTCTGTATATTAATGAAACATCATCAAATATCTATTGGCATTCACCATAGACGTCTGCACCGTGGTCCATCATGGTGTCCACACATGCGCCGTCCCTCACATCCCAAACACGAATATTACTATCCCACGACCCTGACACAAGTAGGTACGGCACCTCAGAGTTCCAAAGTAGGCCTCTGATTGGTGCCTCGTGGCCTTTCAGTACACAAATACAAGTATCCTGGGTGTAGTCCCACACTCGGATCATTCTACAACAAAAGAAAACAGGAATCATTTGATTTACTCCTTCCCAACATAACAGGAAGTTGTTCGAAGTTTGAGAAAACAACCAAATTATCTTAGAAAAGGAAGGTCTGCTACATCACATAAATCTGACTAACATCACTAACAATAACTTTAAAATCATATATTGCCCGAGTTATCATGTAGGTTATGATATATCGTTTAGGTCATGTGCTACAGGTACAAGGTAAGTCATGTGATAAATACAATGTATGCCATGTGATGCATTCAATGTAGGTCATGTTATACATGCAATGAATGTCATGTGATACAAACAGTGTAGGTCATTGTTAAAAATACAATGTAGGTCATGTGATACAAACAATGTAGGTCATGTGATACAAACAGTGTATGTCATGTTATACAAACAATGTAGGTCATGTGATACATACAATATAGGTCATGTTATACATACAATTCAGGTCATGTTATACAAACAATGTAGGTAATGTGATACATACAATGTAGGCATGTGATACAAATAATGTAGGCCATGTTATACATACAATGTAGGTCATGTGATACATACACTGTGGGTCATGTTAAACAAACAATGTAGGTCATGTGATGCATTCAATGTAGGCCATGTTATACATCAAATGAAGGTCATGTGATACAAACAATGTAGGTCATGTTATACATGCAATGTTGGTCATGTGATACAAACAGTGTAGGTCATTGTTATACATACAATGTAGGTCATGTGATACAAACAATGTAGGTCATGTGATACATACAATATAGGTCATGTTATACATACAATTCAGGTCATGTTATACAAACAATGTAGGTAATGTGATACATACAATGTAGGCATGTGATACAAATAATGTAGGTCATGTGATACATACAATATATGTCATGCTATACATACAGTGTAGGCCATGTTATACATACAATGTAGGTCATGTGATACATACACTGTGGGTCATGTTAAACAAACAATGTAGGTCATGTTATACATACAATGTAGGTCATGTTATACATACAATGTAGGTCATGTGATACATACAATGTAGGTCATGTTATACATACATTGTAGGTCATGTGATACATGCAATGTAGGGTCATGTTAAACAAACAATGTAGGTCATGTGGTACATACGAGTCATTAGATCCACTACACAGGATACCCTCTCTCAGGGGAGACCACTTCACATGGAAAACTTTTGATGTATGTCCTGAAATAGATATTTACAGCATAATAAAACCACCAGGGTTAATGAGATAGCTTGATCAGTAATACCGTAATCAAGATATATAGGTATAAAGAAAATTTGGAGGACACATTTTATATTTTCTCATGAAAATGATTCTTCCTATATTATTCATGGCTAGCTGCTTATATAAGAAAGTCAGAGAGGCTTACAGTTATTGTCAAGTAGGAGACCCCTGGGTACACCATAACAAAGCCAAGAGTCAAACTACTGGTAAAATCACCTGTTTGTGCTAGAGGACAACAAAAGCTAACTGGGTATTGAGGAAATGCAGATGGCATCACAAGACACAAAGATAAAAGGAGAAAAAAGAAAAAGAACTTACCTTTAAATGTTTTTATAGGCTGATCAGAGGAAGCCACAATGTAAAATACTCGCACACACATGTCTTCACAGCCAGTAGCTAGCATGTCTCTGCAATGATGAAAGCAGAAGTTAACAGCAGATATTCCTGGGCCGCTTTCGTTTATAGCGATCCAAACCAGAGTTGTTCGTTTATGAAATAAGTTCGGACCTAGTAATTATATATAATCTGATAGTGCTTTCAGACAAGCCTTGACAAAGTCTTGCAAGGTGCCTGCATAAACATTTGCAGGTCCGCCAGAGTTTATACCTGAAAATGTTACCAGGGTACGTTTAAAAACAGACAAACCAGTAGTTCTGCATAAATGAATAGGCCCCAGGGGTCTGATTGGGAGGATAACCACTTAGTTCATGTTCAGTACAAGGATGGTCAGGGATAGAGGAAGGCAAGGGTGAAAATTAATGATTTCATGATTTGATGTAATCAGTTTAATGTTTACTGGTTACTAGGAGAAAGAAGCAGGTAGACGTAGGGGCTAGATCGAGGTGGGGTCAGGATAAAGAGGTGAAGGGTAGAGGAGTGGAGAAGCAAAATGTTGGAAAGGAAGAGGGAACAGAATGGTTGAGGGATGAGGAAGGGACATATATAAACATTTGCAGGTCCGCCAGAATTTATACCCAAAAATGTTACATTCAAAAACAGATAAACCGGTTGTTCTGCATAGGAAGGATTACTGCTAAGTTCAGTACAGGGATAAAGTGGTCAAGGACATGTACAGGGGAAGGCAGGGGTGAAAATGAGTTTTTTGATTTGTGGGTAGGAGTTGGGTCGAGGTAGGGGAGGTGGGGAAGGTGGGGAAGGTGGGGAAGTGTTGGGATAAAGAGGCAAAGGGTAGAGGAGTAGAGATGCAAAGGGTAGAGGAGTAGATTAGCAAAGCGTAGAGGAGGAGAGAGGCAAAGGGTAGAGAGGTAGAGAGGCAAAGGGTAGAGGAGTAGAGAGGCAAAGGGTAGAGGAGTAGAGAGGCAAAGGGTAGAGGAGTAGAGAGGCAAAGGGTAGAGGAGTAGAGAGGCAAAGGGTAGAGGAGTAGAGAGGCAAAGGGTAGAGGAGTAGAGAGGCAAAGGGTAGAGGAGTAGAGAGGCAAAGGGTAGAGGAGTAGAGAGGCAAAGGGTAGAGGAGTAGAGAGGCAAAGGGTAGAGGAGTAGAGAGGCAAAGGGTAGAGGAGTAGAGAGGCAAAGGGTAGAGGAGTAGAGAGGCAAAGGGTAGAGGAGTAGAGAGGCAAAGGGTAGAGGAGTAGAGAGGCAAAGGGTAGAGGAGTAGAGAGGCAAAGGGTAGAGGAGTAGAGAGGCAAAGGGTAGAGGAGTAGAGAAGCAAAATGTTGAAAGGAAGAGGGAAGAGATTGTTGAGGGATTTGGAGGGGAGATGGGGAGGGGTAAAGCGGGATGGGATGGTGTGGAGAGGTAGCATGTAGAGGGGATGGATGGGGAAGAGATCAAGGGGAGTATATTGGAGGTGATGATAGATTACTTACTTATTAGTAGAGGACCAATCACATCCATATACTGGGCCTGGGTGTTTGTACTTCTGTAAGACCTCTCCACTGATGAGACGAACTATGCTGTAAATACCCATTATACAAAAATTAAAATTGAATAAAATGAACAATACTATGCTAATCATCAACATTATAACAGACATGAGCATCCGTCAAAGTGCTTAATATAACAAATTGGTTTTACATTAATTCTGTACTTACAAAGAACAGCCATACGGGACAGTATCACAAATCTGTATAAAAATACCATTACAAGTGATCTACAAACTGGGCAATCTTACCAGTAGCCATCGGCGCCCACCGACGCGATCCTCTTGGAGTCCTTCTGACACCAGGCCACTGTGTATACTGCCCCCTTCATGTGCTGTACAATCATAGATTCAAACTTCAGTATATTCTTACATGCTTTAGACTAATTCAAATACTGTTTCATAAAACACAGCTATTGTACTACACATCTTACAAAGGCAATTATATTTCAATTCAGAATTTTACATTATTTGATAGCATGTCAGTGATGAGTAAAAAAAAACCCAACAATTTTCAGACTTTTTGATTTCTTTAAACTTATGCACTTGAACACATGAACCACATAGGTAACATCACATCATGTTTGCTTTTGGGTTCAAAAATGTCCAACTCCCTACAGTCACAATTATATGGTAAATACAAGTTAAGTTTCAGAAAGATATTTTTCATTAACAGTAAAAGTATTTTCTTACCACTGCTTTGTACTTCATTTCACATACATATATACAACACTTAGTGGACAATCAATACTTCTACCCAGGATTTTATCATGCATCAACCTTTTGGAGTTCAAAGCACATTTGATACTTCTTGTAAGTTTTTATGTCGGAAAATATTAGTCATTTAAATTAAGGTGGTAGGCTTGGATGATCTTGAATCTGACATAAACACTGTTAACAAATGAACAAATTATTATACTAATTTTGGAATCTTGTTATCTTGTTTGTTTTGTAGGTACAATAAACAAGATAATACAATGGTGGGAGAGATATAGTGACATTTGAGTTTACTGACATCACGGGGACGTCTAACGGTGTGTCTGTAAAGTCAGTGTCTAATACAGCTAGAGTGTTCTGGAGTTATAATATAACATTGGGTGTGAGAGAATGTAATAAAGTCAGGTATAATGGTACTAATGAGGTGTCACCACATTTCATCGGAAATAGCTGATTAACAGATAAGCATATCTATTCCTAAGTCTAATTCAATAAGTTTGGTTTTTGGTTTGTTTGTGTTTTACGTCCTATTAACAGCAATGGTCATTTAAGGATGTGCCAGGTTTTGGTGGTGGAGGAAAGCCAGAGTTCTCGGAGAAAAACCACAGACGTAGGGCCAGTACCTGGCGACTGCCCACGTAGGTCTTGAACCCGCAACCCAGTGATGCAGGGCTAGTGGTAGCAGAGTGTCAGACGCCTTAAACACTTGGCCACCACGGCCCCTAATTCAATAAGACTGACCTCTGTGAAGCGTTTAATGATCTTGCCCTTGTCAGTGTCCCACACAAACAGTCCGTTCTTGGCAGTACTGGCCACGATACAATGGAGATCTGCAGGAGCCCAGGACAGGGAGTAGATAACACCCTCATTACCAGGGGAGACATGCACCTGTAAGGGAACAAAGGGAGGCAATCTCTTTACATCTACTTTAAATCATGTAAACTGATTCATATAGTTCAATTTTTCATGAATTTAATGCAAAAAATATTTAATTATTTACAAATTATGTTTAAATTTCAGGGGCAAAACATTCTGCTTATCCTAGCAAGCTACGTGCCAAATATCATAATCCTAGGCATTATAGTTTTTAAGAAGAAATTGAAGTAAGAATGTAAATTTCATACAAAAAAAACACATAATCATCAAACCTATGATTTCTTATCCCTAGATAGTACTTTTACTTAACTGCTTATAATAAACAATATTATTTGGAGTTATAAAGCTTCTCTATAAATGTGATTTACATATGTAAACCTGTCTATTCAGAGCACTGTGTATTCCAATATTCAATCTAATAAAACATAATGCTGTAATCCCATTTCTCTTTAAAACAATCAAATCATACCTGTGTAATCTGACATCCTGTTTAGTTTGATCTATACGATGTATCCTACAGGGTGTCAGATTAGGAGGTTTCACTGTATATAATTGATTTTAGATGCTAACTTGTATCTAGGTCATTAAAATAAGGGTATATGTATCAGATTTCAGACTTACAGTAGTGAGTGTGTTCACATTCCAAACCTTGATTGTCCCATCAAAGCTTGCAGTGGCTAAATGGTCTGAGTTGTCAGGTTGGAATTTACAGTCAAAGATAGTCTCTATATGTCCCTGTATAACAAAAAAATCAGGGAGGTGGTTTTCATATTTTTCTCTTTCAGATAAAAAATTACACTCGATCAATCAACAACATGAAAAAGATGCATAAAACCAAACCTTTAGTAAGAGATCACACATGGGGAAACCAAAAGGTGGCCTCTCTACACAGGTGCTTTTAATAAAGGTTCATTTCTCAAAGAGATCCCTACAATGGAACACATCAAAAGTGGTCTCTTAACACAGGGGGTTTCTCAATAGGGGTGATAGCATGATGACAGGTTTGTACAATGTTTAAAACTTCAGGACTCACTTCCTCTCTCAGAAATATCCATTTGCGTCGTCCAAGGTCATAAAGTCCAACCCCTCCATCCAAAAATGTACAAAGAATCTTTGCAGGTGGAAGGGCAAACTGTGCGCTGTTGATGGCTGAAGGGGGTTGGGCTAGGCTTTTGGATGACGGATTGGACGAAAGACTCAACAATTCTGATTGGTCGTTTATAACCGTGGAGCATACTGCCTGTAAAGCGTGTACACCAGTCTGCTTCAGCCTGATTGTTTCCAATGGCGACGACCTTGACACATTCCATACTCTGAGAACACCAGTTTTAGTATCTAGAGTAGCAAAAATTAGCATCATTAAAGAAATGATTGTAGGTATTCTTAACATACAGAGTAAATATAAGACTTGCGGTGCTCATAATATAGAATAACTGTAATCAAATTACTGTATAACTTTTTTTTTCGTAAAAAGGAAATATTATTATATCCAACTTACCCCTTCAATAATGGCTTAATTACCTTCTAATACAACCCCTTCCTTTGCGTGAAAGCTAATCTTCTCATACTATGACCACTTCCTTCCAGGTAAAGCTTACACCCTTGTACAACAGCAGCCTCCCCAATTAAAGCCTATTTGTGGAGACAACAACAACCCCTCCCCTCGAGTAAATGATTACATCTTGTGAAAACAACAACCCCTCCCCTCGAGTAAATGATTACATCTTGTGATAACAATAACCTCTCCCCTCAAATTAATATTTACTAATTCTTGTGACAATAACTCCTCCCCTCAAGTAAATCTTACTTCTTGTGTCAACAACAACCCGTCCCATCAAGTAAATGTTAGTTATTGGGACAACAACCCCACCCCTCTAGTAAATTTTACTTCTCTTGTGACAACAACAACCCTTACTCCCCTCAAGTTAATGTTTACTTCTGGGGACAACAATCAATTCTGGAAATGTTAACTAGGGGTACATTCGCGTATCCGGTTGAAACGGTTGAACCGGTTGAACCGGTTGAACCGGTTGAACCTGTAAAGAAAACAACAGGTACAGATCTGAACTGAGGCTGACCTCAGGAAAATTCGGCACGTGTAGATTGAGGGGTCCAACCGTACCTATTCGAAACTAAAATGCTGACTATTGCCAGTTTGCGTTATTTCTTTCTAAAACAGTGTCAAGCCACATGCAGTTTTTAAGATAGGTTATGAAATTCAGTGGACGCGTGAGAGAAGGGCATAATATTCTTGATATGTTGTTTTTTATTCTCCGAAACTGTGCATTTTTAGCTCTGCTTATAGAACGGTCCAAGAGCGTTCGTTTATCGTGGAATATTTCTGCGCCACACGTACCGTTTCAACCGGTATACGCGAATGAAGCCTTATTGTGACAACAACAACTTGTCTACCATGTGGCCTAATGGTACTTCCTGTAAAAACAATGCCAGCTCCCCTCCAGTCAAAACTTACCCCCGGTTACAAACATTCCTGGTGCACTGTCTATCCAGGACAGTGATGACACCTGGGTGGCCACACTGGGCATGACAAAACGAATAATGATAGTGAGTGAATTAGAGTCGATGAGTCGAATGGTGCCAAAGGTGTTGGCAACGATAAGGTAGTCAGAGGACAAGGGGTCCCACTCCAGGGCTGTCACAGGGTCGTCCTCCTCTGTATCGGAGTCTTCGTCAGGGGGACACACATGTTTGTGACACTTACCTCCTATATACACAAAGATGCAATAATTTCTTCTTTTAATTTTCTGTTGTTGTAATCATTCAATATTTCTTTTTTTTTAAAATAATGTTTGGCAAGAAATATTTGAGGCCTAGGTAAACTATCGCAATTTTGTCCTAAAATTGAAGTGAAAAATTCTGCACTTAATTTTTTGATATCATCTAACAAATGCCAGAATTTTAGTTTTTCATGGATCACTTCAATTTTACAAAAATGATTCTGTACCAATATCTTTTATTTTACCCACAGAAGTACCATATAAATACACAGGCAGTGGTAATAGTCTGATCAGTGCTAACGAAGGTGCGTATGCATGCATTTATACATACCATTAACAGCATTATCGCTAAAAATCCTAATCAGTGCTAGTGTGATGTATTAAATTTTCATGCATCTAGCGGAGAAAAATCCTCACTTAATTCGTACTTTGTTATTCTGAGTGCTTCATGGCTCTACAATTGCTATGAGACCCATGTTAATTCAAAGCTCTCCGTGTATCACTGTATACGGGAAATTTCAATGCAGTTTTACTTTTGTCTTTTTCGTCATCCAATTAGTAACAATATAATAAACATATCAATCAAATATGAAGGGCGAAATTAACACTGAGCTTTAAATACAAATTTTACCAGCATATGGTGAAAGTTTCCTGTTATACAGTAGTGTAGTGACCTGAGAGTATCTCTACCTAGCTAGAGAGGATCTATAGCTATTTATTTCATTAATCATGACAGCCAGGGCTGACAAGCTCGGGCAAAAATTCTGTATCCAACATAAAGCATATTTTTTAAATTTGAAAATGAATATGAACAATATGTTTATCGATTTTCCCAAATTGATGGGGAAACATTGTTGACATTAATAAAAGAAATTACTTCCTGGCCGAAATATGTTTCAGCTGAAATTCAGAATGAAGTGAAGTTAAATTAAGTTATTGGTAACAGCTGGTATCAGTTTAGCCCAAGTTTCCTCAGGCCCTGACACCAGACACCAGACCAGCTAAAGCCGAGCTTGCGACTGACCCAGAGGTATTGGTAACAGCTGGTATCAGTTTAGCCCAAGTTTCCTCAGGCCCTGACACCAGAGCAGCTAAAGCCGAGCTTGTGACCAACCCAGAGGTATTGGCAACAGCTGGTATCAGTTTAGCCCAAGATTCCTCAGGCCCTGACACCGGACACCAGACCAGCTAAAGCCGAGCTTGTGACGGACCCATATGTATTGATAACAGCTGGTATCAGTTTAGCCCAAGTTTCCTCAGGCCCTGACACCACGCTAAGACATTTTGACAGATAGATGACTGGGCCAACAGGAAACTCAGGCTAGTGTAAGTTAAACAACACTTTACATGAGAAAACTTACCAACATAACAGAGAGAGAGAGTGCCATTTCTGTGGCCCACAACTATTTTACTGGTGTTTTTGGGATGCCATCTAAAGATGAACACGTCGGAAGAGAATCCCGTAACTTCTTTCACAGTTGCTAATTTAGTTGTTGGGTTCTTGTAATGCCACTTAAAGAACTGTCCCCGCCTTGAGGTAAATGTTACTGTTTCGTTGCCATGGAAGCACCAGCCTATGCCTATAGGTATGTCTCTGGTATTTTCCAGCTGGGCTATTATCTGCTGTTGGTCACAGTCCCACACAATGACCCTGTTGTCAGCACTACAGCTGGCCAGTACATCTTTATTTGAAGGATTAAAAGCAATGGCTGTAATTGTCTTCTTGTGTTCAGACATAATTGATACCAACTTGAACTCCCGAAACTTTTTGTCCAGCTGAAATTAAATTGTATTTTTTTAATCTGCTATTATGTTTAATTTCTGTCTACAGTCGAAATCAAATTCAGTGGGAACTTCCCAGAACTATGCATGCATGTACCTATAAAGTTATAACTTAGTCCAAGATTTATACATATATATATAAATATACCTTTAGAGCAATCCACTCCTTTAACGAGAAACAGAAACACAGAACACTTACGCTACATAAAAACAAATTACAAATATAGCAGGACATAACCGTTGATATTACTTCTTTGACCCATATATATATAAATATATATTTAGTTACAGTTAAGTCCCAGAACTATACACATAAATGAGGTTTGGTAACAACAAAAGGGCAACTTAATTACATTTATGAATTACGAAAAAGAAAGAAAAAAATGATGGACTTAAAAATACTAAAAGATTTATTAAAATTGAATGAGTAATTAAATCAATCATTCAAAGACATGTGTAGCATGAAGCACACATAAAGTATTTACTGATCAAAGGGTCGTTAATTTGGGATTCCACTTAAAATTCACATTATTCAAGTGATGCTTTGGGAAAAAAAAAATGTTTGTTGTACCTTAACTTATTGAGTAACTTAAAACTGAGTCTATAATATTTTTGTAAGGTTAGATTTATAAATGCATTAGATACAGCAAGCAAAAGACATAATATTTAATGTAGCATGTGTGACTACTGAATATGTTAGCAGTCCTTTTGAAATTGTGATAAACTGCTTAATAGTGAATTATTATGGTAACAGACCATTATCATCATAAAATCGTTCTGGATAAAGTTATATCACTGCCTGATTCAAACCTGGTTTGTTTTGGTCAGCAATTGAAAACTCTGATTGTATCAGTAGTCATCATGACTAAGACCTACATTCTACAAGTCGGCACAGCACTGTGTTGTATCTTTGAGCAAGATACTTTACTCTGTTTATTCCAGTCCACTCAGCTGTAAATGAGTACTTGGTTGGGCAGTGCTAGAATTGTTGAATGCTAGCTGTAAGCGCAGAAATTGCAGCATCAGCTGTATGCTCCCCAGGTAGTTGAGAAAGATATTGGCTGGTTGCAAAAACCCTATAACCACGGGTAATAATTTGTGAACTGCTTCGAGACGACCTACGAACTAGGTTGTGATAAAGCGGTATATAAGAACCTTGAATGACTATTATTATTATTACAAGTAAACAACAACAGACACATTCCTTGTTTCAGTGCTGGAGAACATTCAATGAGGTTACCCACCAGATGTATGAACGACATGAAACAGAATTCATTTGGAGTTGTGTTACTATTTTGTGTAAATTTTGAACAATTTTGGAAAGTAAATTTATTATTTTCCTAGAATGGTCAGACCAAAAATGAAACTGGAGACCTCTACACTCTTAATCTGACAATTTAACTGACTGAGCTATCTGGTAACCGGCTATCAACCTTGTCCAGTTTCATCAGATTCATCCATCCTTCAACAATTTTTTACCCCAATTTTTTTTTATCCTTTTACCGCCTTTAGTGGGTATATCGAGCTGCAGGTGCTAAATGTAACAGGGAGGTAAAAAGGAAAGCCAGACAAGGATTCAAACCCAACACCTCCCATCTCTAGATAGATGCTTTAAGCACCTGCATTACCTGTCCACCAGCGATTGACCAAGTCCAGTTTCACAATAATTCTATCATCCAGTATTGCTACTGTGGTGGGTTTTTTCGTTATGAAATTTCTTGTGAACAAAATCAGTGGAAATACAGAACAGTGAGAATACAGCAACTGATCTGTGTTTGTTTCACCAACCAGTCACTGGGGATTTTCATCCTGTCTAGCTGCAGGTGCTATATGTAACAGGGAGGATATTTAAGTAGTCAAGACATTTTCATTAATAGCAATATTCTAATTAAGTCTCCCAGGGCACGGCCAGACCCTAGAAATTATTCTGGTAGTATATTATTGTGTGGGTGTCTTTTTGTCCTGATCTTGACTGTTTCCATACTATGACCTTAGGACTATATTCCTAGGGCAATGACCCCTACTTCCTCTACCCCACAAAACAACAATTACTGGGTAAACTGAAATACGTTTGTACTGAAAATTGATTAAAAGAAATAAATGTTCAAAGGCTTCATTCCCTATGGTCATGGAAAAGTGGTTCCTCGTCTGGACTGTGACTCAATTAACCATTATGGTATTTTGACCTCAGTTTGCAAGTCCAGATATATAAATGAAGATATCTGATTGCAAGGTACATGCAGCCTTTTGACCCTCTCATCAAAGACGACATGGCTCAATCCATACTTGAAAGTAGGAAAAGATTCAGCTTATCAAGAGCAAAAGCACCAATTACCCTGACAGACAATCAGAAGACCTGTAGAGACATCACTGCATACACCGGTCTACTCTGGGACTACTTGTCTCAGAGAATCCTTTCATCATAGGGATGAAAGCTTCACAATGTGACCAATCTGGCAGCTGAATACAATTTTGAGTCTGCATGTACTCCGTAAGTTTGTAGAAAAATCCCCATTCATTGTTTATTTTAGTGAAATGTTCAGTGTTTAGTACATTTTCCATCATGCTATTATCATGGAGTGTCAATAAACTATTTAATTGTAATAAAATGCTAATCAAATTTCCATCACTGTTTTGAGTCCAATACTATGAAACATAAAATAGGAAGAAATGTTTCTGTTTTAAGGAATGGAGTCAGTGTAACAGTTTAATAGCTGAACCCCTGGTACAACTCCAACAATGACCATCATATTTATAATTGGCGAAAAATTATGCAACATATGACAAGCCTCAACTTCCAGTCTCCCAAGCCAAGCCCAATTACTTAACAATGAACTTCGTTATGCTACACACATATCTATATACATCCTGCCTTCAATTTCCTTGAACAATCAAACACACATCAACATTAACAATACACATATTCTAGTAATGATCTAATTAATAGGTTTAAGTGGACATCTGGTTGCTTGTGTTGGAAAATTGATTAAGCAATCATATTTCACCCTGGTTGATCATGAATTGATTGATATTATTATTTCACGCTGACTGAAGAGAGAACTTTGGATAAATCTGCTAATCCACTAAAGTTGTATTCCATCTTGACAAAGCAAAACAGTGTTTCATTGAAAGTTTGACAGAAGACTAAATTTAATTGCCTCACCAACTCTATTGATCAAGCAATTGTAATGCACGTTGTGACACAAAAACTTACATTTCTTTGACAAAATGATTGCTTAGCAAAAAAGTGTATGATCACCTAGGATTGGCAAGATGTAAAGTTGGGAACATTCAGGGTTTAGAAGAATTCAACATTTTATACAAGTATTATTGTTAAATGGAAACTTGTAATGAGCAGACAAACGATTAGGTAGCCAATAACTCCTACAAGGGGCCTGATAAATACATGAAGCACTCCCCCAACTAGATACCTAGTATACATAGATAACCTGCATGGCACAATATATAGATCAGGCCCACAATTTTACCAAGAGACAAACATTCCCACTTCTTACCTGGTAGACATAGATAGCCAGTGTGGCACAATATACAAATCGGTCCCCACTCCTTACCTGGTAGACATATATAGCCAGCGTGGTACAATACATAAAACAGTCCCACTACTTACCTGGTAGACATAGATAGCCAGCATGGCACAATACATAAAACAGTCCCACTATAGCTACTTACCTGGTAGACATAGATAGCCAGCGTGGAACAATACATAAAACAGTCCCACTACTTACCTGGTAGACATAGATAGCCAGCGTGGCACAATATACAAATCGGTCCCCACTCGCTGCCACCACATCATGGTTCCAGGGCTGACAGCCAGCTGGGAGCAGGCCCACTTGTTTCACCATGATTATGGACTATGACATCAGATCTATAAAGAGAATATTTGTATGTCTAAAGGTGTTCCTTCTTTGTTTTGTTAATCTAACACTCATGACTGGTTTGTAAGCTTCCTAACCAATACCCAAACTGTGAAAACAGTTCTATGGTATCATTACCTCTTCCTGAACAGTTAATAAACGTTTATCATCATCAAAATTGTTCAAAAATTGTTCAAAATATTCACATGAACACTGCATGAACTAACGTTGATAAACAAACCAAAAGGAGCTCATGACCAATGACATTGATTGTAGTTCATAGAATGTTCATGTAATAATGAAGAACAATTCAACAACAAACATTATTACTGTAGTCTTTGAAACATTCATGAAATAAGTTGTCAACAAATACAAATTCAGGCTTTAAATAAATGGAGTTTTTTTTTTGGTTTTCCAAAGCTTCAGTGGACTCTGGTCAGATAACTTACTCAATACAGATACTCTTACTTGGGTTTTGGTCCATTCAGAAATATTATACAGTAGGTAATAATCTAGGGTGACTGACATTTCTTGTTTGTTTTTGGGGTTGTACAATTTGCTTTGCTTTTTCGTTTATGCCTTGTTGTGTAAGAAGTTAAATGCAATTTGCTTAAATGTGGATTGACCTTCGTTTTGACGGCATATACAGGAGTATGAACGCCGTTGGCAGTTAACATATTTTATGGAACCTGTAACATATTCTATGGTACATGTCAGCAGTCAATAAAGAATATGGTCATTGCAAACATTTACTACTGAATATACTGTCAAAATGAAGGTCAATCCTTATATTTGCATCAGATAAAATTGTTTAAATGCTGCACAAATGAACAAGTTTGATTTTGATCGGCCCAAGGAAACTCAAGTTATCGCACGAAAACAGATTTTCTATTTATAGTAACAGTGACCTTGACCTTTGATCTTTGGACCTGAAAAGCAATCCCAAGCAAGCACTTTTGGTAAGGAAGCACTGCATAAAGTTTGAGTTTGATCGGCCCAAGGAAACTCAAGTTATAGCACGAAAACCTCTGTGCGGACGAAGCCCACGCCGACATAGCAATACCTATGTGTCACCAGCTTTTCGCAGGCGACACAAAAACAGTCTAAGTGGGTTGCACCGTAGTTACTATCGGAGCAACCATAGTTACTATCGGAGCAACCATAGTTACTATCGGAGCAACCATAGTTACTATCGGAGCAACCCACTTAGACTGTTACCGGTAGACTGTAGTGGCTAAGAATCAGCTTTAGTGAATCTTCATTGATATATCAGTAAATTTAGAACACTATTTTTTAAATTTCTGAAACCTTTTAAGTTTTCAGTTAACTAGAGTAACTCTTTGAATATTCTCTCTCATTTAAAGTGATGGTTATGTAGGCGCATTGACACACTGTTCTGGTAGTGATGGTTATGTAGGCGCATTGACACACTGTTCTGGTAGTGATGGTTATGTAGGCGCATTGACACACTGTTTTGGTAGTGATGGTTATGTAGGCCCATTGACACACTGTTCTGGTAGTGATGGTTATGTAGGCGCATTGAAACACTGTTTTGGTAGTGATGGTTATGTAGGCGCAGTGACACACTGTTCTGGTAGTGATGGTTATGTCGGCGCATTGACACACTGTTCTGGTAGTTATGGTTATGTAGGCGCATTGACACACTATCCTGGTAGATATGGTTATGTAGGCCCATTGACACACTATTCTGGTTATTGATGGTTATGTAGGCGCGTTGACACACTGTTCTGGTAGTGATGGGTATGTAGGCGCATTGACACACTATCCTGGTAGTGATGGATATGTAGGCCCATTGACACACTGTTCTGGTAATGATGGTTATGTAGGCACATTGACACATTGTTCTGGTAGTGAGGGTTATGTAGGCGCATTGACACACTGTTCTGGTAGTTATGGTTATGTAGGCGCATTGACACATTGTTCTGGTAGTGAGGGTTATGTAGGCGCATTGACACACTGATCTGGTAGTGATGGTTATGTAGGCCCATTGACACACTGTTCTGGTTATTGATGGTTATGTAGGCGCATTGACACACTGTTCTGGTAGTGATGGTTATGTAGGCACATTGACACACTGTTCTGGTAGTGATGCAGTTTAATGTTCCAGAACAAAGCCACCACAGACTTAAAAAACAAGGACATTTAAATGTGTATCCATGAAATAAGGAGTAAGTCAGAATCCCGCTGTTATATAATCAGACAAGATAGATCCCAAATATGTTCTATGTTTCCCTGATGTTGAGGGAACCAAACAACATCTGTCATGGGTCAGTGTTTTTTCTAAAGGAACAAAACAACGGCTGTCATGGGTCAGTGTTTTTCTAAAGGAACCAAACAACATCTGTCATGGGCCAGTGTTTTTTCTAAAGGAACAAAACAACGGCTGTCATGGGTCAGTGTTTTTTCTAATGGAACAAAACAATTGCTGTCATGGGTCAGTCTTTTCCTAAAGGAACAAAACAACGGCTGTCATGGGTCAGTGTTTTTCTAAAGGAACCAAACAACATCTGTCATAGGTCAGTGTTTTTTCTAATGGAACAAAACAATTGCTGTCATGGGTCAGTGTTTTCCTAAAGGAACAAAACAATGGCTGTCATGGGTCAGTGTTTTTTCTTAAGGAACAAAACAACGGTTGTCATGGGTCAGTGTTTTTCCTAAAGGAACAAAACAACGGCTGTCATGGGTCAGTGTTTTTTCTAAAGGAACAAAACAACGGCTGTCATGGGTCAGTGTTTTTTCTAAAGAAACCAAACAACATCTGTCATTGGTCAGTGTTTTTTCTAAAGGAACAAAACAACGGCTGTCATGGGTCAGTGTTTTTCTAAAGGAACAAAACATTGGCTGTCATGGGTCAGTGTTCTTTCTAATGGAACAAAACAACGGCTGTCGTGGGTCAGTGTTTTTTCTTAAGGAACAAAACAATGGCTGTCATGGGTCAGTGTTTTTTCTAAAGGAACAAAACAACGGCTGTCATGGGTCAGTGTTTTTTCTAAAGGAACAAAACAACCGCTGTCATGGGTCAGTGTTTTTTCTAAAGAAACCAAACAACATCTGTCATTTGTCAGTGTTTTTTCTAAAGGAACAAAACAACGGCTGTCATGGGTCAGTGTTTTTTACCTAAAGTAACAAAAGATTGACTGTCATTAACTTTACAGCAGTCTGTTCAAAATTTTAGCAATATTTTCATCGAAATTTAGAAGATATCCATCATTTTTTCTTCATTTTCAGTACGTAAATTTAGTTCTAAATGTCAATAGAAATAAAATAAAATGAGACTGAAAGATGAAAGAACACTTCATGTGAGTGCCTGAGGTTGTATAGGGGGGAGGAAGGAGAGGGAGGGGGAGGGAAGCGGGGAACCCAGCACACACCTTGAAACTAGCATCCTTTTCTGATGAAGAATGTCGATTGTTGGTGGTTTTTATGAAGTCCTTTTATTCTATACACTAATTCATCAACTCTAAAATCTAATTTGAATACTAAGTATGATATAATTGATGAGTGAAAATTGAAAATAAAACGAATTTATGATGTTTGAGTATAATTTTCACTCATCAATTATCATACTTAGGATTCAATTGCCCACCTGTATAAGTTTAACCCTAACCTGTATCTGCACTAGTGCTTGATGAATTATTGACAATACTCTAAAACCTGAACCTGAATCACGTGATCATCAACGTCATCTCAATTGAATCTTAAGTATGATAATTGATGAGTGAAAATTATACTCAAACATCATAAATTGGTTTAATTTCCAATTATATTATGAATCTTGTAAAAGGAAAATTAAGGAAACACTCTTCCCTCTTTATGTTTTCATGTGACCCCTGTCAACATTATCGGAGTGGAGATGTAGAAATAATACTCACATGTAAAAACTATACCATGGATTTTGATCCCGCATCAGCAACTAGTCACTGCTACGTTTGTTGAGAAAATGTTAATTACACAGGAAACACGTCAGCTCTACTGTCCCTTTACTATTTTCAGTTAATAACATATTAAACACGATCTCAGTAAATCACTGATCACCAACTGAGTGCCGCCTGTAAATCACCTTATCTAGGGCACAGACCCCAACTGTTAATAAACTACGTGCTGCTAATCATTTACTTTGGTATATATACACCTCCATTTTACTGTAGCACCTAACAATGCGGGATAATATTACTAATAACAACCTTGAAGCTGTTTATAACAGCCAGATGACACCGCTCTACCATGTATATCTGATGGACACAGACCTAAGGCCTCTTGCTCTTGTAACAACACGTCCATATGGACCTTTATGTGACCTGTAAGTTGAATGTCAGTGAAGCTTGTAACAACACGTCCATATGGACCTTTATGTGACCTGAAAGTTGAATGTCAGTGAAGCTTGTTTCTTTAGGCCATCGTTAAAGCTATTATATTCTAATAAGCAAAGAAAAACTGAGCTTCAAGAATTTAACCACATTTGAACCTTGACAAAAAGATTTATATGCTTTTTACCTATGTAATAGGCAAGGAAAATGCAAAACCAGACTGGGATTTGAACCCCGAACCCTCTGAACTCTAGTCCAGTTCTGCTACATTCCTCCCTCCTTTTTGTAAGTCTTCACCCCTGAAGATATCATTATTTACAACCCAGGTTCAGGTATCCCCTTGCCAAGCATTCACCCAATACTTGAAACAAGGGTTGGTCACAGGCACCAAATGTAATAGGATAGAAAAATGCAACAGCCAAACCAGGGTTAGAACCCACGACCCCTTTGTTCCTAGTCTGACACTCTACCACTGAGCTAAAGGGAAATCTGACACACCTATACTACTCACATTTTGCTAAGGATCACCTATATTTTGAAAAAAAAATCAAAATGTTTGAAAGGATATTATATTTTCCTTCCATACTGTTTTGGGCGAATATGTTAGCCTTCCAAATCGTCCTCTTTGGGTGTGTTCATTGTTCAGTACACAGTAAGGCGTTGTTCTAATTGTTAAGGAAATC